CCCTTCAGATATCAAGCAGCCATCATTTGTCATTTGTCTCCCCATAATATTTCCCAAGAATTGTTCATGGTTGAAATGCCTATAAATGATGGGAGTAAATATGGTTAAACGGAGGTCTCCTATAATGGAGGTATGTTGAAACCTATGGTTCTGGAATCCCCGATTCAACACCTAATCAACAGGGGTCGCGGCAAGCCACTGTGTTGCCTTGCTCGTCGCCCCAGGTAAGAACTGGCATGCCTCTTCACGCTCGCGCGGCTGAGAAAACAGAAACAAAAGATACGTTCCAGTGTTATCAAACATGGTAAGCAAAGAAATCCAGCGTAAATAAACATATAGTCACTAAATGGAAGATGGAAAATTGTACCAACTATACAAACACTTTGATGATTTTTGAAGAATGAAATCCTTTTTTGGTTGGTCAGCCTCAAATAAATCACATCGAAATCATCAGCAACATTAGCATGTTGCAAAATCCAGCAAGGAGCTAACACACACAAACAGCCCAACTAATCAAGCACAAAAGGGATCAATCAACTGTGCAAATGGAGGTTTCCTGAAATAGGGGTGCCCCAAAATCACCAATGTTTACAGAATGTTGCATTGACAACCATCCATTTTGGGTTACCTCCATTTTTGAAAAAAAAAACAAATCAATGGGAATTTCAGGATCCCAAAATGGAGGTACTGTACCATATAAAGCCATATTTCGGGGGCATATCCCCTTACATAGGCTTTATATATGGTAGGTACCTCCGATTTAGGTTCCTGAAATGGCCATTGACCGAATGAACAATAAATCATGAACGAATTCTGAGGATTTCAAGACAAACCATCAACAGTTCGTGGCAGCTCACCGGGTCCTCAGACTTTCGATAAAAGGATCCCTTTTGTTTTCACAAACCACGTTTAGGGATTGCACAACAGCCAACAAACATCCAGATGGAAACAGGTCTTAATGGGATATTGATGGGATTTAGATCAGTTGATTTAGATACAATGAAACATGTAGTTCACCACGTAGTTTGCATAGCACCACGTCTTTTCTCATCAGCGGATTCAATGTTGATCCTGGTACTTCGATCATCATTTTACCCGGCCTGGTTATGACTAACAGTTCGCCATGGTTAAGCCAGATGGCCCTAATCGAAATAGATGGTTTACCGTTCTTAATAGCATGGGTGGATCTTTCCATGGCGAACTGTGATATAGTCATAACCAACTGGTAACCATCAATCATCATGTCTGGGCTGTATCCCCCTTCAGGTTGACTGACTGGTAGCCATGGAATGACCCACGGTCAAGATATTCTACTGCGATTAGGGGATTCCCTACATTGGGTATACTATACGAACCCATGTTCGGTGGGTACGAATGTGATCAATATAGTTATATATAAGTTCAACATATATACATATATACATATATATATATCGTCTGACTGTCTCATGTGGTTATAAATAACTATACATATACCTATGTGATCCTATGTGCAATTTCGAAGGCGCTATCTTGATTTGTTCTGATCAAAAATTTGAATAACTTTGACTATTTTTTGGGGTTCTATGACAAACCACCAATCCACCGTTGCCAATCTTGGAGATCCTGCTATCAAGATCAATAATTGTAAATCCACCGAATCTTTGGCTCATTGATCTTCCGAATCGCTCAAAACATATATTCACCTTAAGCATCCTGAAACTGGGAAGCTGGCTATGACAAACTTCCTAACGCAAACAAAAGAACTTCAGTCGGTCCCAGATACACTCGCCCCAGAATAGATGGCGCAACTCAAAAACCAAAATGCCCATAAGATGGCACCGCGCGGTGAGGCAGAAAACGGCGCTATTTTGGCTGGAACATAAAACGAGTTGCGCCATCTATGTGGCTTGTGACAAAGATCCAATTGAAGAAAAAAATCACCCCAAAATAGCGCATATTGGATGACCAACTTACTTTAAAATGAAAAGGTATATGGCGCAACTGCCACTCCAGTAGATGGGCGTAAGGGTATTGTTAACTAAGTTTACTACATTTCCGATCATTTTTGCTTGTTTATATTGTAGATTACACATGTTTGTATTGTGTATGTATATACATATATATATATATAATTCCACTAGATTTTTTATCCAAAAAATGAGTTGCGCCATCTATGTCCCTTAAATCCCATTCAAACGCCAGACAAATTGTCGAGGGGTTCAAAAATGAATTGCGCCATCTATGTCCCTTAAATCACATTCAAGTCTTTTAAAATTTCATTGCGACACCTTGAAAATGAACCACTGAATGTTTTAAAACTGATGGTGGACAGAATTTATGGATAGAACTCTCATTTTCAACATATTTTGACAAACATATTTTGAAAAATGTTAAAATTCATTGCAATACCTTGAAGCCCTTTCCTGACTTGCGCCATCCATGCGCGTCCCAAACATGGCAGTTCAGCAGGCTGAGGGGGGCTGGCAGTGGCAAAAGAATTTAGAAACATCTTTTGTCCTCATCATCAAGTCCTTCCCGGACTTGCGCCATCTATGTGGTTTGGAACTGTTTGGAAACAGGCCCGATTTGGGGGGCATATTTCTGCTTCAGGAAAGGAGATGCGCCATTTATGTGGCATATTTTGGTTAGGTTGGTTTATGGATGTCGGGAGAGATGAGGGAGTTGCGCCATCTATGTGGGCATTCCCAGCCTGATTTTGGCGAATGAGTGGGAGTTGCGCCATCTATGTCGCAAAAAGGCAGCTTGATGTTGAGGAAAAACTATGGGTGCAAACCAGCGCAGAAGATTGCAAAAAATATGTCATTTTTAGGGACATACATGGCGCAACTGACCTGTTTTGAATGGAGTTGCGCCATCTATCCCCTGCATTTTGCCTTTGACATAGATGGCGCAACTCAATAAATTGAGCCATCTATTCTGGCGGGGGAATATATTCATCAGACTCTCAACCACCATTTGTGTCTGATTTGCCTGTCTTCTTCGTCAAATCCTCAGTTTTTGGTGGTTTGTTGAACGCCAAAACACAGGATGTGTCGACTTCTTTTCTGTGTAAACCCATTTATATAATCTCAAAAACGCTGAAAAATACCAGAACCAATTGAACAAGTGTACGGCTACCAGTACAATCCAACCAGGCAATTTTCTACAAGTCTACGACTTTAGAAAACATCTTCCCATGATATCCTCACAACGTTGCCCCATATCACCCCACCTCTGGCGAAGAACAACCAAGCCCACGCCTCAGTCATCCCAGCTGTGTAAAGCCCTAGAACCAGTTATTTAAATGGTGATCAATATGGGGTTATTTAGCAGTTGTTTACAACCAGTTATACCAGTTTTTTTACCACTTAAATGGTTATAAATGTTTATATGAGTATATATATATATATAAATGGGCTGCTCATTCCATAAATGGGGTTGTTTCACTGACTTACAAACTGGGATTTTGGGCCAATGCCCTGTAAATGCCAGGCCACATTCAGCAGTCTATGGACATCGTCTTGGCAACCGCCTGCGGTGGACTATCAGAAATGTGAAAAATAATTGGCATCCCTTGGCAAAAAGAAAAAATTATGGTATATATGTCAGTGTATCATCATTTCTGGATATGTCTGGTATATAACATTATATATATATCCATATTAATCATCATTCATTGTGGTTATGTTCATGATATTTGGCTGAAAATAGCTTACACTTGATGCCATTTGGGATGACTCCCTGGGTACCATTCCCATCTTTCCATTGACGTCACGGCGTGAGGCCCCATAACTTATCCATCCATAGTATGCGTATATATAAATATTTATACATGTATTTTATATATGTATATTATCTATGTGTATAATTATGCATATAGTATCACATGAAGTATCCATCCCATCAATCCATAGATTATCCCTTAATATTCCCATATCATTGGCTATCTAAATGGTTAGCAAAATCGGTGCATTTCTGTCACCAACGATGACAATATGTATATAATCATAAATCTTACATAATGATGCCGGTCTTAGGAATTATTGATGCTTGGTAGATATCATCTTACTAAGCAAGGCTGCTATCCACCTACTAATTGAGATAACCCTCCAAAGATACGACTTACGTCCATGGCTAGGGGGCATGCCTTTTCCATCCGGAATTTTCTTCATAATGATGATCATCTAAGGTGCTGATGATACTCACGACTCAAATGCATATTCCGTGATGATCCAATGTCCTCAGAATTTTGCCTGCAGATTGATGTTCGAAGTGTAAGAATCGCCATGAACAATTCGACAATCAATGATGGAATTTGGTGGTCATCCTGCCAGGAAGTGACACATGATGACACATGTGTCCAGTATCTTTAAACATATATTCTTACTGTAACCAGGACATGAATTCACATTGGATAGCTATATTAACCTGTTTGTGGAATCAAAGAATTTAATATGCTTGCGGATTCCATGACTTTAATGTACTTGGAGAATCCATGAGTCGACAATATGAAACCATATTAAGAAACTCCAAACTCTGGGAAACCTGGATGTTTCATGAGTTTACCTCAAGCCACTGCTAGCAAAGGCAACCCATATCTGTCCGCCTGTCTGTCTCTGTTTATCTATCTATGTACCCAGGTATGCAGGTAATTATCTATGTATAATTCATAATAACTTCTCAGATATTCATAATAATTACCCGGATATCTATGTATAATTATCTATTCTATGCATGTGTAAATATGAATATCTATATTCTATATGTGTATATATATATATATATACATATATATATATATATATATGTACCAGGAAAGGCTCAAACTATGAATATATCTGGTCTTTCTGCTCTTGCTCATGAGCAGGGTCAGCATCACGCAAGCAATGCATTTATGACATGTTAAGCTACGTATTCATCCTTGGGGTAGCATACATACCTATACATACATACTAGGCCAATCACTACCAGTCTATAATTTTCATATAATATAAAATAGGACTCTCTCTCTATATATATATACACATTATAACTATATATTATAATTATATATATATATGTATATGGAGATGGATTCAATGCTTTGAAGCCATTTTCTTACTGGCCTGATTTTCAATCCGGTTTCATCCCTAGCGCATCTCCGCCTGACGTCCCGTCCAAGCTATGTGTGAGGCTGGCGATGGGCGGATCGTCTTGATTGTCCTAGGCTAGGATGGATTGGTGTGGTGTTGGAAAAATCTAAGGAAACCATCGATTTTCCCATGTTTTGATCATTACCCTCGGGTAAACATACAAAAAGCTATTGAAAATTGCAAAATAGTGGATTTACCCAGCTATAAAATGGTGATTTTCCATAGTTACGTTAGTTTACCAGAGGGTAAACAATCCAAATCAATCGATTTTTTTCGGATCATGGGCCCATATTTTATTTCATTAAAGCCAATTTCCCATTAAGATCATGGGGCTTTCCTGTAAAATTTCCCAACAAAACCAATCCGGTGATCGGATCCAAAAATCAACTCCTTATGCGATGGGTCAAAAGCGTCCAAAAATGTCAAAACCCATACCCTGGTGAAGCTTAAAATAGCTACTTCATGGTTCTTGATGGACGTTTATGCCCCAAAAAATGGTCTAAAATGGGTTTCGATCCATCCCCCAGGTAGCGCCCTGGGCCACCGAGGCGGCCTTCTGGCAGCATCAAAAAAACGACATCCCTGGGTTGACTTTTCTTGATAAATGGGGTACCCCAATAGCTGGAGGGTTTATTTCATGGAAAATCCTATGAAAATTGTTAAAAATTAATGGTTTAGGGGTACCCCTATTTCAGGAAACCTCCATCTCACTCAAGAATACTCTCTGGTAATCAAACATAACTAGCTGGAAAATCCTCCAGTTATAGACCATGTTCCCACGATTAAAACATACATATTTAAATAGGGTTTTTCCAGCTAGCTATGTTTGATTACCAGAGTATCATCCAGCTGTGGGATTTTTTTCCGTCTGCAAAGATCAGTCAATCTTCGTCGACATAGTCATCCCTAAAAAGATAGAAACAGTAGAATTTTCACCATCGACAGGTAGGGATTCTCTTTTCTATCTTTTTGGGACAGCGAAAAAAATGGATAAAATAAGGGGTTGCCATGATTTCAGGAGACACCCAATCTGGAATGACTCAACGATTCTCATTGTTCCTAATATGCAAACTCAAGAATCCTGAATGTCCGATGCTTATATTCCTTCAAGAGCCAGACAGTTGATAAAGCAGATTTCTGCACCAAGCATCCATCATGTTCATCAGCAAGTCAGTATTGCTGTACAATCCACTAAACCTTGGGAAATGCCACGAGACTCGTGACCCAAATGACCAAAATGACTCGTCATGAGATTGCCAGCCTCTCCGGAAAAAAACACTTGGACATGGGTCAGTTTACCTGGTACTCCAAGGTTCATATCCACCCAAAAATGCCTTATATAAATTAAAATAATATATATATATATAATACATAATATAATATATATATATATAATAATATATATATATACATAAAATATAATATATAAAATAATATAGATAATAAAATATATAGAATAATATATATATATACATATTATAAAATAAAAATATTAAAATATAAAAGATAATATATATATATATACAAACATAATATAACATAATGTAATATAATATAAAATTATATAATATAACATAACATGATATAATGTAAATTTAATAAAATATAATATAATATAATATAATATAACATATCATGATATAATGTAAAATAATCTAATATACTATAATATAACCTAATATAATATAACATAAAAAGTATAATATAATACACTATAATATAATATAATATAATTTAATATAATTAATATAATATAATATAATATAATATAATATAATATATACATATATGATATGTATAGAATAAATATATATATATATATTATATAAATTAAATTGAAATATACAATATAGTAAATATAATATAGCATATATAATATAATATATATATAATAAAATAATAATATAATATAATGAAAAAATAATATAGCATATATAATATAATATTTAAAATATAATATAATATAATACAATACAATATAATGAAACATAATATTAAATAATATTACATTATATAATATAATACAATACAATATAATTTAATATAATACAATACAATATAATACAATAAAAGAAAATATAATATAATACAATAAAATACAATATAATATGATACAATAAAAAATAATATAATATATATAATATGTATATAATAATATATATATATATCAGGCCTATTTGTATCTATTTGTTAGGCATAAATTTCAGGGGATGTACCCCCAATTGCTATGGCTTTATATGGTACAGTACCTCCATGTTGTCCTGAAATTTACCATGGACACCCTGCAAGGTGAGGTCCCCGTTTACGAAATCGCGCTCGGTTGACGCACATGACTTGGTGAACTGGGTTTATGGGGGAATATAATCATAGTTGCGGAAATTCGAAGTTATTTATCAAATAAATTATGAACATCCCTTATAGTTTAATTAATGGGGATAGAACATGATATGACAAACAATTTTTGGGGAATGTTAATGGGGTTCATAAACCAACTAACATCACTTGGGCGCACCGTGTAAGGTTTATGTTTTACGCGGCTTTGTGGGTGTTGGTCATCCTTGTTCGGATCAATTATATCGTATCACTCTCAGCCTGCCCAGTTGGATGTTTGCTGGATGTATCACCTCATTAACTAGTTCATTAAATAGGGGTTTCCATAGGTTGGGATACCCTAAAATGGATGGTTTATAGATGTTTATAGTGGAAAAACTTATATATTGAAATGGATGGTTTATAGTGGTACCCCATTTTAGGAAACATCCAAATAGCTACCGCACAGTAGCCAGGAACATGTTAGCTATCGGCATCCCAGCAAGAACTGTGCCACGTGATCCGACCGGATCAACAGAGGGACGATATGTCGGATGGGGGGAATCCAAAGAAATCTGCCTAGATAGTTCCTATATATACCTATCAAACATCACATATATATATGAATACCATTTTATGGTGATAGGTTATAAGCAAATGAGCTCCCGCCAAAATCATTTTCTGAGTAGTTGCTATTAAGTTATGGTTATCGCTTTTCGCGGGCCTATCGCTTGAAAAAGGGTTTTGTGGAAAGAAGGCATATTGGAGATCCAACATGAAGCCAAATCCATTCCTTAACAGGCTCGGAAATGGATCGAGCAGTTGTTTTGTTGGTTTCAGGTGCTTCGGCAACACTTCATGTTCCTTTCGTGTTGCATTTATTTGGATGCATTTCCCTTCATATGCCTTTCATTTGCATGCATCTTCCTTTCATTGTGCATTCATTTCCTTTCATTGTCCTTCCATGTTTATTTCATTGGTATTCATTTCCATTCATGTTCCTTCATATTCATTCCAATATGCATTCATGTCCTCTCATCTTCCTTTCATTTGCACACATGTTCCTTTCATTTTGCATTCATGTCCTTTCATGTCCTTTCTAAAGTTATGGAAATGGCTCCAGCTTGGCCAGGGAACCGAGAGCAACAAATGGTTCTGGCTAAGTTATTGCTAATGTTATCGCTAAATAACCCCTCCAACATATGACATTGTTCGAAGGACATTTGCCACAAAACGACAGAGAGAGAGAGAGAGAGACAAAGAAAGAAAGAAAGAAAGAAAGAAAGAAAGAAAGAGAGAGAGAGAGAGCGAGCGAGTTGGATGCCAAATGCTATGCTAACTGCAGGAAACCGGGCACCACAGGTTGAATTTCCCTCATCGGTTTGGCCTGGCCCGTTCTGAATGTGCACAACAGTATTTGCTGGGTTTACGCCAACTTTAATGGACTGTCGTGTATGGTCCCAGGTTATCGCTTTTTGGGGGCCCTATCGCTTTACAGTGTTTCGTGCACATCTCTGACAAAAAACTCCTGCAATACTAAAGTAGTCTTCAACCATTTTGACCGTGGCTCATATGAAAGCATCATAGCGATATATCTTTAGGCAACTCCTAGAAACTTCGCATATGATTGATCTTTAGGTGTTCATTTCGTCCCGAAATCTACTGTTCCTTCACCCCATTTTCAGAGTCATCAGAGTCTTCCCATGGCTCCAAGTTGCTGCTCCAAGATCCGCAAATGCAGGCAAGCTGCAATTGCACACGGGTGAAATTCGAGAGATAATTCAGATCATATTGCGCCACCTATCACATGGCTGAATCCTCCCACCGATCCTACTAATATCATTGGATTGGTTTAAGGGTAAAATTACAGGAAACCCCAGGTTTAATGGTAAAAACAAAACCATGGTTTCCGGTTAATTTTCCCAACAAAACCAATCCAATGATAATAGTAATTAATAGTGATTGTCACATACTAGCTCATTCTACTGGTAGCAGAATAGATCTCGAACCCACTGATAATACGGTAAATGGCAAAAGGTTTGAACATCCTGTGGCAGTTGAAAGCAAGCTGTCAGGCGGGAAACCTGAAACTTCAGTATTCAAATATAAATGGGGGTACCCCAAAATGGATGGTTTATAAGGTAAAATCCGATTAAAATGAATGATTTGGGGGTACCCCTATTTCAGGAAACTCCCAAATGTCTAGAAAATTGAGTCCACAGCACTTGTACGCCCAAGTTCTCATTCTAGACTTACATATCGTAATTCCTCAATTCTCAACGTCTGTCTTGCAAGGATCAGTGTTCACTGTTCAATTATTGCAACGAAAAGTTGTCTCCGAAACAAGAATTGCCTCATCTATTTCTCACCAGAATATCAACGGATTACGGCAACATTTACAGGAACCCAATATCTTTACACGAAGCCCCCATGTGAAACATGGGAAATTTCAGAAATTGCGATTTTCCCCAACCCCATTGAAAGTACCGTTGCACATACCGTTGGGCTTCCCCATTCACGCCAACGGACAGGAGAAAGAAGCTGGTTTGGCCAACCGCAATATCCTGGCCCAAAGGGTGGATGAAGGGTACGATGACGAAATTTCATATAGTTATGTTTGATATTATCTGGTTGGTGGTTTTAAGCATCTTGAAACATATTAGTCAATGGGAATGATTATCCCATATATTATGGAAAATGAAAAATGTGTGAAACCACCAACTGATGGTATAATGGTGGTAATGCTGGCATAATGCTGGTATACTGATGGTATCGTGGTGGTACAATGGTGTAATCGTGGCATAATATGGTGGCATAATGGTGGTTTAATGGTGGTACAATGGGAATAATTATCATGGGATACCAACCAGGAATAGTGGTTGCAGTTGCCATATTGAAGTTGGAGTTTCCAGTATCCTTTCAATTGTTTTTGAGGGCATATGATGGATCCGGATGTCATGAACATATATCAAAATAATCCCTTCCCCCGTTCATATTAAACACGCCCAAGAAACTCAAAAAACCATGCTTTAATAGGGAATCTATACATATTGGGACCATTTAGGGGGTGTTTAATAATATTAGGGGGGATGAATTAATCATCGGCAAGACTGAGATCCATTTTGTTCCATAACAAAATCATGTGAGCACTGTTCGAATCCCGGTCCCCGTATACTGCTTGGTTAATAGGATTTCCCAGTTTATTGATCGTGACAATCATGGATATAGAGGATACTATGAGCTTCAACCCTGAACCAATCATCAACCAACAGGGGCTTCGCAGCTACTGCGATGCCCTGTGAATCCCAAAAAAAACAATCCGCCGACCGCTGAAGTTCCAGATTGAAGGACTTGAACACACGAAATTCGCAGGGCTCATCATCCCTTTCTGCAAATCTTTCAGCACGCCCCATGTCCTGGTATCCCATGTTTCGAGGTGAATCAACTCACCCAGTTACTCACCAGTTACGATAGGGATGATCTTCCATGATCTTCCATAACCATTGATCCATGGAATGTTAAATGCCTATAAAGTCACCATTTATCCCTATAAAATCCCTTTAAATCCCCATGAATTAGTTATAAATCCCATTGAATCACATTGTTTCTTAGTGAAATCACATGTTTTTTCTTGGTGAAATCAGCATTTGTCTTGGTGTTAAATCCCCATTTTCCTATGGTTTTCCTATGGTTTTCCTATGGTTTTCCTATGGGTTTCCTATGGTTTTCCTATGGTTTTCCTATGGTTTTCCAGAAAACTGAATGTCCGCATCGCATCTTTGTCCTGGCACTGCAGCATAGACCAGGGGGAAATTCTCCATCCCGCCGAGCACCTGAAAAATCGGCCACTCGTTTGCTGATCAGACCCGGCTATATAACCAAGTGGGATATTTAGGAAGGTATACCTATATACATATTTCATATAGATATATACATATTTCATATATCTATGAAATGTGCATATATACATATAAATATATATATATATAGATATATAGATATATATATATATATGATCCTGTCTTCCGCCCGCGAGGTCTCCCCCCCCCCGAATGGGATGGGTCTCCAGGTAGCACCCCCCCTTCCCTTTTATTCGCAAGCTATTGGCAGCATTTCTGAGGTCCAGCCTCGTATTTGCTAGGTTTCTGCAGCGATTCTGACTACCAGCCTCCCATTTACTAGGTACATGCTACCCTTTAGACGACCTACGTAGCATACTCCCTCAAAGTACCTACGTGCTACCTGTAGTCATATATACATGTGCTATGTATCTACTTATATATATATATATGTTATAGATATATATATATATATATTCATATTCGTATTTAAATACATATATATATATATACATACACATACATATATTCACATATATATAACACATACATACATAAGCATATACATATAAATATAAATAAATATAAATATATAAATAAATATATATATATACACATACATGTTTACACATATATATATATAAATATTATACGCAGTACCACACCCCCACCACACCACAGGGGGGGGCGGGGAACATAGCTCCTGTATATCCATACCCATTCCTACTAATTACCAACTACTACTCCTAACTACTACTAACCCCCCGCACCCCCCTACCCACCCACAGGGGGGCGGGGAACATAGCTCCTGTATATCCATACCCATTCCTACTACTAACTACTACTACTACTACTACTCCTACTACTACTACTACTGCTACTACTACTGCTACTACTACTACTACGACTACTACTACGACTACTACTACTACTACTACTACTACTACTACTACTAACCCACAGGGGGGGCGGGGAACATAGCTCCTGTATACCCATACCCATTGGGGGGGAGGGGGGGGGACCTGGGAGGCTGCATCATATATACATGATATGTTAGCAATGTTCAAAACCGGCCGGCGTCATTTCATGTATAGTGGTAGGTCAAGAATGGGACTCCCAGTTCATCGATGATGATCATGCCCAATATATAAAGGCCTGTGCAACAATCTATTTACAGCACCCGAACTAGTCATCAACCAACAGGGGTTTTCAATGCTCATGGATGGATCGATACACACCTAGATGCAGGGATGGATAGATACAAAGTCGATACCGAAAGTAAATTGCATTGTTTGATATTGTTTGTACATGTGGAGATTTCTTGAAACACGGGTACCCCCCAAACCATCCAAGTCATAAACGACCATCTTAGTATTGAAACCTATGGTGACGACTGGGGATTCCCCATGACTTCAGAAAATCATTTCTGGTTGGTGGTTGAGCCTACCCCTCTGAAAAATATGAGTTCGTCAATTGGGATGATGATGATTCCCAACTGAATGGACAAATAAAAATCATGTTCCAAACCACCAACCAGATTTCATGTTTGGTGCTTTTTTTATGGCTCAGCAGCAGGAGCAGTAAGAGCAAGACAAGAGAACTCATGTGTTTCCGGCGATACTCTTTCGATACCCCGAGACCCTAAAAAAGAACAACAATAAATAACCCTCACCACCAACCCCACCAAGTTTCAAAAGGGCAAAACCCATCACAATCCAATTCCCAATAGAACTGACACAATAACAATAGGTAAATTCCGGACCTACAAAAACGCAGGTAAAAATACCAGTGATCAAAAACATGTCTTCGCAAACACCACCTGGACATACCTGGACACAACACGCACCTACTTCCAGAAATCTTTCCCCCACCTGAACGTATTGAGTTTCCAAATGGAGTGTACTTATGAAAATGGGGATTATTCAAACTACTTCAACACACCCAAATCTCTATGTTTGTCTTCACACCCCCTAACCCTGGGATGTATTGGTGGCCACGTATCCCAAGTTATGGTTAAAATCCCACGTTTATCCCCCAAAAAATCACCCAACCATGCACTCCCAAGCAGGTTTGTCAAGCTACTGGGTGACCATCCTTCAGTTGATAGGAAGCATGAAAACCTCGGAGATCACTCTATCAATGGGAATTTCAGGATCCTAAAATGGAGGTACTGTACCATATAAGACCATATTTTCAAGGGATATTCCCTTACATAGGCCTTATAGGCCTTATATATGGTAGGTACCTCCAATTTAGGTTCATGAAAAGGACTGCTTGATAAATAGGTGTCCCCATTCATTCTGGGTTATCGTTTGTGCAATCCCCAGTAAACCAGTTGGTATAGGTATAAGAACCCACTTCCATGACCAAAATGTATGTACATATATTCTATGTATAACTAACTATTATATGTAGACAAATCTCTAGCCGGGCATGATGCTCCCTAATACTTGGAAGGGACAAAAATACAGTGGCCTACCTGAGCGAGGTTCACTCAGAAGCTACGAGCATCTTTGCGGCAGAATCTCTGTTTTGCAAACTTTACATCATATTCACTCTTGTTGTTTGAACCCATTCTCAGTTTGGAAGCTCCATCATGTATATCCATATATACATCTACATATTATGCTGTATATATATATATATAAATATGTCATGTGTACAATATATATATATAATATACACAGTATATATATACACATAATATCATAATCCTTTTTTTATGTATAGATTTATGTACTGTAATGCAACGCAATACTGCAGCCTCCATGGAATGCTGAGCTGAGATGCTAATGTTGGAGGCTGTGACCTGGTGAGTCGCGAGGCTGTGTCGCGTGTCGCGTCTGAGTCAGTGCAGCCATGGTATGGATCAATGGATTGGTTTAAGGGAAAATCTACAGGAAACCATAGATTTTCCCATTAAGATCATGGGGCTTTCCTGTAAATTTTCCCTTAAACCAATCCATTGAATGGAAGTAAAAACATGATATGGAAACGCCATAAGAAAACCACGGTGAATATACGGTTAATATACTGTTAACATATGGTTAATATATGGTTATTGTATATGGTTAATGATGGTTAATAATCTGGTTGGTGGTAAAACAACCCCTCTGAAAAATATTAGTCAATGGAAAGGATTATCCCATATATTATGGAAAGTAGAAAATGTTTGAAACCACCAACCAGAATTATATAGTAATGTGTAACCCAAGATATGGAAGTTTCCAAAAATATGTCTAACCCAAAATGGATGGTTTATCGAAGGAAGATCCTAAGATCCTATTCAAATGGATGATTTTTGGTGAGGTACCACCATGTAAGGAAACCTCCATATGTGGATCATGATATGTTCGTAACCACATAATACAACCTTTTTGACATGGTAACATTTTAGCTTCCTACAATGGATATAGTTTTCATAGAAAAGAACAGCAACAATCTATATTACGTATGATATGTTGTATTGATGTGTAATTTACCCTCTGGTTATTTAACATAGCCATGGAAAATCGCCCATTTGTAGATGGTTTACCTATTAAAAATGGTGATTTTCCATGGCTATGTTAAATTACCAGAGGGTAACACATGTCATTCAATATTTTCATGTATGGAGGTTTCCAGAGTCATAGTTGGTGTAACCCCAGTCATCATCCAAGTCATGAAAGATCATCTTAGTATTGAAAGCCATGGTGACGACTGGAGATACCACATTTTTTTCGAACCCCCATAAGGATATAAGAACATTAAATAGTAAGTATGATGATATGGCAACATATGACAATAGAACATATTAAGCATTGTTAAATGTAATCATCTAGGATAATATTGTCTATAACATTTCATATCATCCCTTTTTATACAATGCATCATGGAGTGTACAATATGGTATGATGATATGTAAATTGTATCACCATCTATAGGGTGTGTATTAGGTGTATAATAATATGTAATCTATGTAGTTCACCATTCTAATTGGGATTATATTATATAATGGGATAAGGTATCATGGGTGTATGTTGATATGTAACTTATGTGGTTTACCCTAGTTTAACATTTTGTAATTGGGATATAAGGGGACGAACTGATATGATGTATGTATGTCATTTACATAATTCATGTACCATCTATAAATATCTATAATTGAAATCTGTTCGGGATTATGTTGATTTATATGTAATTTATGTAGTTTACCAATCGTGAAAAATTGCATGGGATATATTGGGAGATGGTTGACCAACAATATGCTCTGGGTTTGAACCATATTCAATCTTAATGGATATGAATGGGGGTATATGCCCATTTTTTGGGCCATTTTGATAGGAAAAATAATCCAGAAATGACCAAAGAAAAACGAGAAGCCATGGCAGCCATGGTGAATAGCCGCTGTAGCTTAGAATCCCATATCATACTTTTTTTCTCACTTCTGCGAAAAGAATAGACTCTTGTAAAAAGCATGTAAAAACTCAGCACACGGATTGTTCTATCTTGATAGAGCCACGACCACCTTGAACCACCCCATTGTTCCCACCTCTCCCAGGATATGAAGTGGATTGTCCAGGGCCTCCGTTGTGCCCCGTTGGATCTCATGTTCGATTCGCCACTATTTTCTGGGGCAACGTGATGAAACAAAAGGCAGACTTGAAGAAAGTTGAGACTCCTGTGGATCTGTCTGACTCGTGCTCCCTTTGTATATATTTGTGTATATGATTGTATATACATTCAAAGAGGCAAAGTTTTCACCCGTTGGGCCAGACCAAGTGCTCAAAACATGGCAAAATGCCTGTCATCCCAGGTGAATCCTGAAAATGTGCCAATGATATAACACATATTCTTGGAGCTATAACCATCTCCGAAGAATAGCATATAATTCAACGCTTGACCTTGGCATCTAGATTCGTTCAAAATGCACCGGTCATAATCCCGCCGAAGGTGCAGAGAGCATCTCCTGCACTTCTTTCAACCACCAATGCCTGTTACAACGGACCAATTCGAAATTCGAGGATGATTCGGTTTGGATCCGTTTGGGTCTAAAAATTGGAATACCCTCATCCCAATCCCTGAAATGATTCAAATGGCTATGTATGCAGAAAATAACCGTCAACCACAGGATTCTGGGGTACCTTATCTTTGGACAACACAATTTATCTTCCTGCGTATGTGTGACATGGAAGGCACATGATCATGCCATACCACCAGCCTGTTTAACATATGTAAATTGTGCGAGGAAAGTGTTCTTCCACCCCCATTTGGCAGAGTGTGTGTTTGAGAAATGTCCTGCTTTGAAATGCACAAATCGGCACATAATAACAGCAACATACACCAACCGAAGGTGCAACATCAAGCATCTTGAGCACATGGATGGAAAAAAAAACACAGCAGAAACAGAAACACAAACTACATCCACTCAGTCACTTTGAAGGCTATCTGCGATATAGTTCACACTTCCACTTAGTGATGTTCATCATTCCTGGCTCCTTGGCTCCAAAACGGATGGTCGAATAAGCCTTCAATCATCACCCACACCCCTATGACCCATGAGCCCTGAAAAATACTCCTATCCCATCTCACTACATTGGTTGGATATATAACATACCAATAATATAGGAATATTCTGAATTATGGGTTCAAAATGGTTGAAGTAAAGTAAAGTGGTAGAAGCCCCAACAATGACATAATTATAACAACCAACTAAAAGATACTTAAAATACGAAAAACATCTAAAAGTTTGGTATTTTCAATGGCTCAAATGATCCTCGATATTCCTTAATACGCCCTTCTGAACTCCCTTCGTGTCGTGCGGCGGCATGTAGGGAGTGGTGTCCAAACGAAAGCCATCGACATCAAATTCCTGCAGAGTCTGCAGGTACCGGGTAGGTGGTTGTCGCTATCTATATGGGTATGGATCAATACCTATTAATACCATTTTTAGGGGGTTATTCACATCCATTTACCAGCTACTTTGATGTTCACCAGGGGTACTATTGGTTTTGACACACTGCCATATGGGGGTTTCTTAAGATGGGGGATCCTCAAAACCATGGGTTTCACTCCTAAAAATGGTCCAGATGGTCCAATGACTTGGGTGATTTGAAGCTTGCCCTAAAATATAGGAACCCCTGGTAACAACACCAGGCCACGACGTTAGGCCGTCTTGAAAGGGGGCTGTCCCGGTCATATCTCTGAGTCAAACATGGATTGATGGCGCATACCTGAGGGCCGCACGTCCACCAACCACATCACATATTTTTTCAACTGTTCTCTGACCTCGCTCGAGCCACCATCGAGCTGGTTTTTGGTGAAAATTGGGCTCGTGTTTTTTTTTCCCCAGATTCAAACCCGATTGATGGCATTTTTTGTTGGGAAAGTAAATTGTCTGAACCATCAAATCCTATACCCTCTGGTAAACTAACATAACTATCGAAAATCACCGTGTTTCATGGGTAAATGAACATATAAATGGCAATTTTCAAGTTCGCAAACTGTAAACGTTTACCAGGCCGGGTAATTCTGGGGTAGCCCATTTCCCAAAACGCATCACCATTTCCCAAAGCTGTAACTTCTTCGGAAGTTTGTTGATACAACCGTGGGTTTTTGCCGGTAGAAATGCGAATCCCAACTATCCTCAAGCACCAGGATGCATTGCCCCCCATGGAGACTAAGATGACATTTTATGACAATGCGCAGGAATCGACAACATGTTGAGTTGCAAATTCCGCAGCATCAAACATCGCCAGTTTGTAGATAACAGATTCTTCAATCACACCCTCAGTTTTATATAGGGGGTCTTGAAAGTATGTTTTACAATTCATACTTAGTTCTTCACAACATGGGCGTGGGTCCAAAACTGGGCAATCCCCCCAGTTTGCTCCAGATTTCCTTCGTATTTTCCCATCAGATGCTCCGGGTTTCCTTCGTAGACTCAGGTGGCTTGTTATCGGATCTCAACTGGTTTTGCTAACCCCAGAACTAAGTCCCAAGTCGTCCTGGGTAAACTCACCCCAGTAACTCACCGCAGTTACGATCTGTGGGATGATCCTCTAGGAAAGTATTCCGGGACGCCCCTGGCGGTTTCATATGGGACTGTCCAAACATGGGGATGTCCAAACAAAATGGCAATTCTCATGGGGAAAATGATGATAAACCATGAGAAACCATGATAAACCTTCGAAATGTAGGGTACCTTTTTTCAGACAACCCTGGGACCGGTGGCTTGCCAAACTCCACAACTCTGCTCCGATCTCCAAGGTGCAAAGGGCACACTTTGATTCAGATCGGCCAGGTCATAAAACCAGCCCTGCTGCGACATCACTTCGTTGTATCCTGAGAGATCGCCAGGTCGGTATTGCATGGGATTCTCCTGTCGATTCTATATGATTCTAATGGTAAATGATGCTTATGGTTTATGATAAACTATGGTTTATGATGAAAACGATGGTTTATGAAAACTATGGTTTCATATATAATAAAACACATGAAAACTATGGTTTATGATGCTGATCACTATGTAGAGGTATCTTTTTGTAAACCCAATCACAAACCATCCAATTAACATCAATTGACCGTGGGGGTCATCATAAACATCCCATTTCATTTGGGGTACCCTCTGGTAATTTAACATAGCTATGGAAAATCACCATTTTTAATGGAAAAACTCACTATAAATGGCCATTTTCAATAGCTATGTTAAATTACCAGAGGGTAACCAACAAAAAACAGCCCCAGTCATTGGGGATGGTTTCTGGGATATGGCAGTCCGACGGTGATCGGGGATCACCAGCCGGATCCCAGTGGTTTATGACCTATAAATGGGTATAGCCATGGTAAACCCCATATTATATATATATATGTTATATTGTTATATTACCTATATATACATACATGTACATATATATATATAACTATAATATATATATATACATAATACATACAATATAATTATAATATGACCAGGGGATGATAAATCATATGTTTACTAGCCACTTACTGGGACAGTATCCCCATAAATGGAGCTGTTAAAACTCATTATGGCTGAAAAGCCACTGGATTCATGCCGTTGATGTTTGGGGATGGGTCAAAACCCAACCCCTTTTGTTCACATCAAAATAGCTGGTAGTTATGGATGTTCATCTCCCTGAAATGTGGTATTTCATATGGTCATGACGAGTCATGACTGGTCTTTCATAGCTTTTCACCCCCAAAAATGATTCAAGATCATCCGATAATCCCAGTGCTACCGCAACTGGAAAGGGGTCTTTTAATGATGACTGTTGGAAAATGAACCACTCAGCATGGCTAAGCCGAACGTATCCAACTAGGACGTTGAACCATGAATTCTTTGTGATGGCGATCATGTGACTCATGAATGACTGTCAATCCCCTGTTGTCTTAGTTGTTTTTGTGGTGAATAACATCGATTCACATCCTTGTATATAGCCCGTTACACTGGAGGAATATCAGCAAAAAACAGCATGTTTTATCCTGTTTTATATCAGGTGTCTATTTCGTTAGATGGATCTTCAAAAACTGTATGAGCGGCTCACACACATGGAGAAAACACTGTGCCACTTGGAAATGCCCGAATTTCGACTTTCAATCACACTGTCTCAAACTAAACATGTGACGTGAGACATGATACCACATCTGGTTGGTGGTTGACCTACCCCTCTGAAAAAATATGCTCGTCAGTTGGGATGATTATTCCCAATATATGGAAAGTCATAAAATTCATGTTCCAAACCACCAACCAGACATAGTATGTCATCCAAATCATATCTATTCACCTTCAGCACAGGATTCACCTACCAGAGCTGTGATGATCCCAGTCCATCGCAGACCCGCTGCCAAGCAGTGAACAATTCATAGCAATTCATCGACATTGAATTTACCCTCTGGTAATTTAACATAGCTATAGAAAATGGCCATAGAAATAGTGGATTTACCCATTAAAAATGGTGATGTTCCATAGTTATGTAAACGTTTACCAGAGGGTAATGGAAATTCCATGAAAATCCTAATGGATTCCAGTGACTACCTTGAGATCAATATTTGGGCCCCAGAAAAAAAAAAACTGCGACCCCAGAAACCATCCGTTGTGTTAAAAACACCAGTTTCATCATCACCGTTGTTTTGAGACTTCCATAAAGTGGGCGTTAAATTCCCCATGTTCAGGTCCAAAGCAAAACAACACATGTTGATTATATCTACCAAAAAAAAAGGTACCATAAAATATCCCATGATTTCCCGCCGTAGTAAAATGGTTGGTTAGACCCTCCAGTAATCAACCCAATGTAGGACTCTACCCATCAGCTTGTCCTCCACAAGAATACCCCCCATCTCATTACCCTTTGGTAAACTAACATAGCTATTGAAAATGGCCATTTATAGTTGATATAGTTGATTTACCCATATAAATGGGTGAATTTCCATAGTTATGTTAGTTTACCAGAGGGTATACTACTTGGTTAATAAGGTTTCACCATTTTCAGGATCCCATCCGGTCCGCCTTCCGCCTTCTGCCCAGTCACCGGAACACTCGTAGTTGCCAACACCTCGCTGAGCACCGGGCAGGAAACCGAAAATAGCTGTTTCGGAATCCAACGGGCTTTTCTGCAGGATCCGTGACCAACAATAATGGGGATATATATATATATTGTAATATTGTAAAGGATAGAATTGCCACAACGGAATACAATGGGGATGTATTTGGGACAGAATAGGGATGTATTGGGGATATGTATATATACATATATATAGATGTACACATGCTGTAATACATATATATATATAGGGAATATATATATATAGGGAATATAATGAATATGTGTTGAGAAACACTGGGACACATTATATAATAACTATAACATACTATAACCAACCTGAGATGTTGCTCACTGTTGGGTTTTGCTCGGCTCAAGCCCAAGCATCCGAAAGGCGCCGCGCGGTGGTTGCCGTATGTGCTCTATGGATCTCTATGGATAGTTAACTTCCGGTCATCAAACGTGGCAATTTAAATGAATTTATCGATGATTTTGCAAGCTATAAATTTTCATTTATAGAACATGTCCTAGCTTGCCATGTTTGGTGACACCGGAGGGTACCTACATGACTAGGTGATTTTGGAACTCATTGTTGGAGCATATTCCCAGGCACTGGTCATACAGGCCATGCAATTCATGTCAACTCAAGCCGCCTGGTCGATTTTTTTTTGATCCAGGGATAGGATTGGCAATTAGAACCATTGATCCTCGTTATATCCTGATCATAGCCCATGTTTGCCTCTTACATACCTATTCAATGTTGAACAAAGAAAAATGACGGGCCCCAACGTGATCCACCAAGAGACTGCAATACTTCAAATACGGAGGTCCATGAGCTCGGTCTCCAAAGTAATTTTCCTGCTGGAGGTTGGTTATCCCCTTTGCAAGTGGCAAAAAACACATGGGCAAATGTCAACCCCGTCTTCAAAAAACTCCAACCCCGTCTTCAAAAAAACTCTGGTCATGAGGTTGAAAGCTCAAGGGGACATCTACAAGAAACCATTGGTTTTGCCGGGCAGGTTTTGCCTTCACCCTATTCAGAGGTCTACAAACTGCGGGGTACCAGTTTTCTTGGCACTTGATCACTTTGGCTGATACCCGAGTCAATCAACCGGAGGGGTTCCACCAGCCAGCGGCCAGCGTTGACAAATCCAAGGTTGAGATTAAGCAATCATGAGCTCGAAATTGGGTAAGTATATCTACACGATGCCCAAGGGTGAATGAATGGGTTGTGGTTGAAAAACGATCTGGGAAATCAATGGATATGGCTTTGTTATAGTTGCTTCTATCCCCGTTCAATCCCATTAAATCCCCATTGATGGTTAAATTAAATCCCATTAATACCATTATATCTATATCCCATCAAATTCCCATGAAATCCCTATAAATCCCTATAAATCCTGTTAATTCCCATTAAATTCCAAATTCCCATTGAAATCCCCCAAAAAAACCATGAAAAATCCCATCAAAGTCCCACAACGAAACCCCTTTAATAATCCCAATCCCATCAAATTCACATTGAAATCCCATCAAATCCCATTAAATCCCATTAAATTCCCATTGAAATCACATAAATTATGGTATGAGAATCTTGAGCTTGTTGGCATGATGCCAACCCCGCGGCCTTGGAGTAGTTGTTGCCCGGATAGTTGTTGCCTCATGGAAATCGCGGGCTCAGGGCTGGGGATTTCTGGAAGGGAATTTCATCGGAATCTGATGGGACCTAATGGGATTTAACCATCAATCATGGGGATTTAATGGGATTTAATGGGATTTAATGGGATTTAATGGGATTTAATGCCATCTTAACCCAAGAATTCTGACAGACCAAAGAATTGAGCAAAAACCACATGTCCCAAGGTTATAGGGGTATGCTCCAAAGGCATGTTCAGCTGTTCTTAGACATAAGGAGTTTGGGGCAAACAATTTTTGAGACCCACGTCAAGAATGCTTCGAAACGCAAGTCCCGCTGTAACTGCTTCCTCCATAGATGACTGGGTCGGTCCCAACCAGTTTTACCTTTGTGGTTTTCACGTAACAAGGGTCGAATTGGATCATGCGAAGCAGCTGCGCAGCATAGATGCATGTATAGGTAAATACACATAAACTGGTACGTATTACACCAATATATATATATACTATACATATATACACATACATATGTATAGGATCATGTATGCATGCATGCATGTATGTATATGTGTATGTGTATTTGTATGTGTATGTGTATGTGTATGTGTATGTATGTATATATATATATAGTATTATGTATTATGTATGTGTATATATATATATACATTTTATTTATATGCATATGCATAAATGGATCAATATAATATATATATATATGTATCTATGTATATATACACATATACATGTCTATTCGTATATATGTACATACATGTAGAAATAGAAAATGACCCATAGAAATAGTTGATTTTCCTATGAACAAATAGTTTACCAGGGTACCAGGGGGTAGGAAAAAAAACATGAACCACCTTTTGTTGTGTTTTTTCCATGGTTTCTTGCCTCTTTGCGCGGCGCGTTTGCCGCAGTTTTTTTTCTGCCACCCCTCCTGCACCACAAATCAGAGGGTTTGATACCGGTTTGCTCTTCCAGAGCTTTAGCATTCATTATATATGTAGCAGCCAAAAAAAAAACGTGTTTACAGGATGTATATCATAGATTATGATTTTCCAATATGTGTCAGGTTTCCAACTTTTCTATCTGGGAGTTGCTATTTACGTATCATGTACGGTGCCTTCATGTGCCTTCCAAATGATCAAATCTACGGAGAAGATCTACAAGCAAAATACCTTTCATTTTGTTGCCACCGTTGGTTAAATGAATTCCTGGTGGTGAAGCTTATGTGTTTTTTTGGTTGGTGAAATGAGTTACAGTACATCCCATGTGTTTGTTGTATACGTAGGTAAATCGTTTTAAATCTCCATTTTTAATGCTCGTAACATCTCCAAAATGGTGGTTATACCTTGTGATAATTCAACATAGCTTTGGAAGCCATGGCCCATTTAGTTCGATGATTTACCTATGATCAATCTCAATGGTGATTTTCGCATTCCCAAAGAAAACAGAACATCAAAGTCCAGCTTTGACGCCTCCAATTTTCAAACCAAGCGGCAATAGGTACCTGAGAGGACAGGTGTGGGCCTGGGCCCCTAGGTCTTGCACTTCATAGCGGAGAAATGATGGCAATTGAACATTTCCGATAAAACATCGGAAAATCATCGGAAAATCGAGTTCTAAATGGAGGTTTCGAGGGTTTAACTTGGGATTTTCCATGCGGAATGGATGGTGGATGCTTCGAACATGATGAACCAGCAAATTTTGGGGTAACCTATACCTAAAGTACATACACGCAAAATAAACAATACACGCCTATATATATACATATATATATTATACATACGCATATATATAATTATATACAATTATGTCACATGTGTGTATATATATGTATATATAGACATTGTATCCCACAAATGTAAAACCACCGACTCTATTGGCTGACATAAGTATTTCATAGTATTTCCACAAGCAAATCCAAGGGCAGTTTCCATTTCCAATCTCCACGTCATAAACCATCCCCAAGCCATCACTTTTTCATGAGGATTCAACCTGGTTGAGGTGACTTTCCCTAAGAAAAAAATCCGGGTCGATTCATGGTTCCAAGCCATAAAAATAAGGGACTTGGGCATTTTTTATAGCTGGGTGACTCCTACATTAGATACTATTATACATAACATTATGGATACAGTAACAGTAGCCTGATTAACACCAACAGTAATAACATATACAAATATAGATCTTTAGAACAGAGATAACAGATACATAACATAAATCAATAGTAACACCAACAGCTGATTCAACACCAACAGCCACAAAACCTTCAGGGGTCTTTTGCCGGGCCGCCAGCTGGGGTGTTATCTTTAATTCGACGAGACCTGGTGAGTTGTTCCCCCCATAAATCCATGTGATTTAGATGTGTATATATATATGTTAAATGTATGTATATATTTAAATTATATTTAATGGATGTGTAAGATCCATATCACATGTATATCAATAGTTTTAAAGACACACATAAACATGATGTACTCTCTATGTCGCTGTATATTATATATATAAGTAGCATACATCCAAGATATAACTGAGGTCATCACCCACACTAGCGCTTGATTTCAGTCTTCCATTTGTTTTTGTGCCGGTTGTATACTAATGCGTTGAACCTAGAATCCAATAACTCCAGTTGACGAAGTTGGGGCCCAACCTTCTGTCATCCTCTGCTTCATTGATAAGGATTCCCCGATTAGATTACCAGATAATAAGCGCTATTAATTAGGTAGGGGTGACATGGAATAACTTAACGAATTGCCAGCAAAAATAGTTTGGGATGTTTTGGGTAGTGCTCACTGGCATCGTTGGCCCAATTGAGGCTGGTTTCCTTCCAGCTCTCATCATTTATGGGGGTTCCGCCAGCGAGTTTGCTATAACTTGCCTCCAAAAAATAATTCCTAGCTTCAAAGCATAGTTAGGTATGAACTATACAGGCTGAGGCACCCCAGTTATAAGTTGGCTGGCTTATAAACCGGTTAACTAGCTGTAGTTCGATATATGTTATCAATTGGTTTACACACCTATTAACTAGTTCGATATATCTACCATTATCTGCCATAAACCATAGTTAACCGCATATATCCACCATTCAAGAACCCCTTATCAGTGGGTGTATAAACCCCATGAATACTATAGTTTAAAGCATCATAACCCATACTGAAAGTGGAGTTATTTGCACGAACTTAGCTATAATAAGTCAGCTCTAAATCCCATGAAATCCCCATGTTTGTTGCTTAAACATGGTTTTCCACCACCATGTTCTGATCGTTTCTGTCGTTTTACATGTGTTAAATCCCTGAAATCTCAATAATTCCCATGAAAATCCCAGCAAATCACCGTTTCCTTATGAATTTCCTACAGGATGGTGCCCCCCAGTTATAAGTTGGTTTATAAACCCCATTAACTATAGTTATATCTGCCATAAACCATAGTTATGGGAGTTATAAACCAATTTAGCTAACTATGGGGCACCACCTTGTATGGTTTTCCACCTGTTTACACAGCTCCATTGCCGTCTCGCAGCCGTTGTTGGTTCCATCTGGTTCGCCATTGGCGAAGAACTGCAGGTAGCATTGGGCGCCAGGGCCGATTCCTTGCGTTGGGTACCTGGGTATAAGCTAGGTTGCATTGCAGATGATTATATATATATATGATAATATATGATTATATGCTAGCCCCTATATTATATGGAAAAACGGGGGTTCATATATGGATTAAAAAAATCTGGGATGTTATGGATTGGTAAATTATAATAATTCACTAACCTGAATAGTTTGGCCATATTGGAATGATTTCCCTTACTAACCATGATTCCAGTGAGGTCGCAGTGAGGTCGTTATAATTTACCCATAATTATATGATAATATATGATAATATATGATAATATATGATAATATATGATAATATATGATAATATATGATAATATATGATAATATATGATAATATATTATGATAAGTCAATGGATTGGTTTGAGGGAAATCTTAACCGGAAACCGGTAGGTTTTTACTATCAAATATAGGGGTTTCCTGTAAAATTGTCCCATCATCCAATTCTGTGAATATTATATGATACTGTATCTAATGTTACAAGATTATCGATATATATATACATACATATTAATGCATTTTGCTAATTATGTGATGATATAGGATAATATGTAATTCTATGATAATGTATGATAATATGTATGCTGTGTGTCAATTTGTTGTAAGACAAACATACCTGCTATACGATAAAATATGATAACATCTATATTGAATGCATGTTCCAATACAATGTATATTGAATGTATATTCTATAGTATGAAAATCATAGATAACATGTCAAACATATTGAATCCAGATGCGTAACATTGTGTAACGACTATACTAGTAACTGCTAAACCCCAGTTGGTTGATGTAGGGCATTATACCAACCAATATTTGGGGGAATATCAGTTGATGCAGGGCATTATACCAACATATACCAACCAATATTTGGGTGAATATCAATGAGTCAATGAGCAATTTTGTGAGACATGGTTATACCCTGCTTTTGATCGGTACCCACGTAGATGATTGCAAATGAATAAACCTCCGATTTTGGATGGGTTGCTAGACCCATCTCTGGTGAAATTGTGGATGGTTTATGATTGGGTGTACCACATAAAACACATTCGATAATTTCTGGCTTCTTCGCCCATCATGTTTCGTCAGCACAAAAACACTGCTGGCTTCAGCGACCCACAGCGCTAAAAACAGCATGGACGAAGCAACCAGAACTTATCCAATGTGCTTAATGTGGTAAACTCAATCATTACCATACATATTATATATCAGTCTTACTATTGACCTCTGTTGTCATATGTTGAAACACACAAATATGGTGTGCTCAATACAGTTCAAATATTGCATCATAACTCCAGATTCTCTGGCTGGACGCTGTCACCAGGACCCAGGTGGTTTTCCATTCCAAGTGGCGGCCAACCGGACATCTTTTCGGTATATTCGTCAAAAGTCATGTTGGAAATGTTGCGCAAGTGAAAGTATTCTGTTTCCTGAGAGCAGAGCTGGATGCCATTTTTATGATGCCATGTTCAACACGGGCGAATTTGCAGGAGCCCCGAATGGAGCCAGGCTCCTCATGGCTAATCATGCTAATCTTAGGTCATCTTATATACCCGGCAAAAAAACAACATGACTTAAGAATTACAGGAACTTGTCAGTGTATGACACACTATGAATCATCTTTTGAGAAACAAACCATGCTGCCTTAACCACTAGGTCGACTTTTTTGTCTACATGGGTTCACCCAGAGCAGTGCCAAGATGCTCCCATGGTGATTGATGAAGACCATGGAAAATCTACATGAGTACTGCACCCTACTGTAGCCTAACATAGATATAGAAATCACCAAGGGGAAACCCCGTTCGGAACATGATCTACGAATGGTGGCATTTCAATCTATGTTTACTGGACTGTAGCTATTTGATCATGATGCCGTTGCGAACTATGGCTCTGTCTGTTGGCCTCTAGGCAGGCTAATCTCTAAATTCCAAAAAAAAGAGCAAAAGCACCTAATAAGAGACTCAACTACTCAGTCAAGGTGAATTGCCTAACTTTTTGGTGTGATTTCCCCGCGCAAAAAGACTTGTCAATAGGACCCCCATCATCCCAGCATGAGATAGAAAAGTAACGCGAATACATATATATATATATATATGTATATTTGCATTGATTGGATCCTACCTACCCCATACATAGATGGTGCCATTCCCGAGAGCTTTCCCAAAATTGGGAACAAAAAAACAAAAACAGGTTGATCATCACCTTCCCAGCCCCAGCAAAACGGGGTATTCCCCATTTAGAGACAGATCGAAAATAATCCAAAACATCATGCTGAAGTCATATTATATTGCTGGGTGTAGATACCCGATTCTTTCCCTAGTACTTACCGTCTGAGAATTCAGAATATGTATGGCAAAACACTTTTTTTGAGTAGGTGAATCAGTAAATCATCTAAAGATGGACGGTTTTTCCACGGCTACTTCAACTTACAATATACATTGGATGTGTTGAAAATTACATAGAAACGAATCAGAGGGTATAGAGTGGCCCCCCCCAGTTGTAAGTTGGTTTATAAACCCCATTAGCTATATAGTTGCAAGATGTTACAAGTATCATAAACCATAGTGAACCTGGAGTTCTGTTCACTTGGTTTTTTTTAGCTCCAAATCCCAAGAACTGCATGAAAAACCATGGTTTTCCTATGGGTTTTGCTGGTGAAATCTCCATGTTCCTATGGGTTTTATCCCATGGATTTTCCAACACCAGAGCCAACCAAGGGACATTGAAGGGATTCACCAGAGCCAGCTCCGCCAGACTATGGATCGGACGAACCTGGTCAATCTGGTCACTGAATTGGTTTATAACTGGTTCCTAATAATGGTTAATATATAGTGGTTAATATTAATATATATATATATAATGGTTAATATAATATAATGGTTAATATATCATGGTTCCTAATAGTGCCTTGGATGGTTTTATCATAATGGTTTTTCATCATGGTTAATAATATAGTTTATTGTGGTAACAACGATGCCATAAACCACCCATGACTGGGAATGGTAACCCTACCACCCATTTATGGTGAAATTGTGGATGGTTTATTGTGTTTATTGTTGTTTTACCAACAGTAATAGTCGTGAAGTACTGGTGAATACTGATTTATGAGCTTAAGAATGGTTGACGATAATAGTTGGTTAGCTGGTTAGCCTCTGGTGTCAAACATGGCAAGGAAATCCCCGCGCTAAATGGATCTAAATGGAGGTTTTTTGTTGCTGGGAGAATCATCGGACGATAGCTGGGTAATTTTCCCCGTATCCATGGAGCTGATTCCCGTTCATTTTTGGAATCCTCCAGAAACCATGGAGTTTAGGTCTGGGACTTTCACATATTGAGGGCCATTTGTTTTTTGGGGTGTTTTATATATTTGGGGGGATGAAATTACTCATGATTCATGATTCATCATTCATAGATGTGTTTGTTTGCCTATGCCTTTGCCTTACAGACCATTTTCTGCGACTGGTGTCGTCACAAAACTGGAAAACAACTGAGTTATCGCTTCGGATCATCCCAAAATCTTCCAAACATGGAGAAAAAATGAGAAAAATCGCGGCACCAACCAGTTAACTAACATAGCTATGGAAATCCATGATTTTGAATTGAAAATGATGTACAAATGGTGGATTGGCCCAGAGACAAACTAAACAGCATCAATTCTTCCAATCCGCCAGATCTAGCAAATGCACAATGCATTTGCGTGTTCAGGGAAGAAAGTCCTACTGATCTACCCTTCAACAAGATTTACAAAAATGTGCGGCGATATCAATTTTCATGGCTTATCTCCCTAATTATAGGGGATGGTCTATGTCTCCATTTCTTTTCCGTTGATCATCGTTGATCCATGGGATCCCATGAAAGAAGCCAGGTAAAGCCAGGCTTTCCATGGGATGAACAGTGATGACCTACCAACATAGCATACCCTCCGGTCAGCTCCATCGCTGGAAAATCTCTGATTTACTTCGATGATCTTCGATGATTTTCCCGAACTAAACCTCCAAGGATGCACAGTTAGGGTTTTTCCAGGTTTTTCCAGCCACATTTGAGGCATCCGGAGGCTACCATCTGACACCAGACATGGCTACCAGTATCAAGCGAGGCGCGTGGTTTAACACAATGTCCAAAATGAAGCACATGCCTCACATGCTGCGGTGACTGCGGTGACCTGGAAAAAATATGGAGTCAGTACGAAGTAGCGGGAAAACGTTGATCAATTGATCCTTGACTCAAAAAGGTGGGATGGAAAGATTTGAGAAAGTTAGATTGTTAAATTAAATTAATTTAATGGAAAAAATTGATGTGGGAAAGTTTGATTGAGAAAGTTGGATGGTCTCTTCACCACCAGCCATCCTATACCAGTCGTTTTCCGAACGTTGTAAGACTCCAACATGGAACAGCTACCGCGCGCGCAGCTGCCAGAATATCCATATCATAAAATCCACTACATTCCCACATTTTGCTGATGAACTATCCATAAATATCCACACCTTGGTTGTCGGTCAACGTGTTTAATGAGTATATTCTGTATACAAATACCATCATCAATGCATGGCCAACTTTGGATGCCACTAAAACACATTTATGTTGAAAACGAAACTCATCATCTACCATTCACCTGTCGATTTACTCAGCAGATACCGGTATATTCTTGGTCATTCTTGGTCATCTCATTGTTTTGGGGCTGCTACCCGGTTCTTCAAGATCTCGTACCTTCACAAACCTGTCATTTTCCAAGAACTGTCCTAAAATCCCAGGAACATTTAAAGAAACATGAAACCAACTTCCGGATGAACATCACCTTCAAGTATCCGTTGGAGATTATAATATATGTACAATTATGTAAGTGTGTATATATATATATACACACACATTTATCCCCTCTAGTTGGGTGATGTTTAATCATGGTAAATCTAAGATATCTGCAAAAAAACACGATCTTTTAGCTGGTTAGTACATGTTACATCATTTTACCCTTGATAGCAGCATTTGTTTAAAGCACTAGTGGCTACTAAGATTTACTAAGTATCTTATAATCTAACCATATCTAACCAGTTGACCGCCATGTCACCGAGCTCGTGGGTCTTGTTCACCAAGCGTTTCATGTCCTCCGTGGTACCGAAGTTGGGATCGATCCGGAACCAGTCCTGCCGTGGAGTGCCACGTATCCACACCCCTGGGGGATGCCCGGAGATTTTTAAGTGATTCCCGGGTGATTTAAACACCACAAAAATGGGGTTGTTATTCCAAAAGAATCAGAGTGGAGTCACGTTTTCCTGGGTTTTTCATGGTTTTTCTGCGAGATCTTTATCCATCAAACGGAGGTCTAACATGGTCTAACCGAGTCGTGGTTTCGATCTTTGTCATGTTCGGTCGAACCATCGTCAATTCACCTTGCTGGATGGAAATGTGGTGAAACGACCCAGTCATGGCAGGTTTAGGACACAAAATCCCAATTTCATCTGGTTGGTGGTTGACCTACCCCTCTGAAAAAATATTAAAGTCAGTTGGGATGATTATTCCCAATATATGGAAAGTCATAAAATTCATGTTCCAAACCACCAACCAGTCATAGGATGAGGACCCTATTTACTGTGGGGAAATACTAGGAAGGACTCAATGACCCTAAATTGCTGCGCCGTTACGGCCAACGTCATGGTTGAAATCCAGCACACTGGGATGGGTCCTGAGGTCCCGTAGTTTACCATGGTTGTCCGTGAACCAAGCGGACACATTTTTTTACACAGAAGAAATGGACATGTCTGATCCACTGGATGTACTTTGTTGTCATATGAAGTCATATTTTGGGGTATATCATGGTATATCATGGCATATCCCCTTACATTGCCTTTGAAAATAAGCTTATATATGGTAGGTACCTCCAATCAATCGGTACCTGAAATATCCTGAAATGGCCATTAATTTTCAAGGGGCACCTTCTTGAGCCTTTCACATTTTCACTAGCCATTTTCCAAGAGATCACCATCTGCGTCTGGGTCAAAGTTGGTGTCTCCTCAAAAGAACAACATGGGAGGCGTTCCTAGGGCCATGTTCGACCCATATCCAGTCTACATTAACGAAATGCATGGCTACAGGCACCCGTGGAAATCAGGACTAAACACCGCGGGGTTGGTACAACTGCATGGAACGCACCGGTTACGTCGAAGTCAGAAAAGGCGGGACCTGGATCAGAAATCCTATTGGTAACGCTTCAACGCTGGGGCCAAATATCTACATCAAAATGTTACTGGAGATGTTAGTTCCTACTGGAACGCTAATGGAATATTTCTGCTAATTCTATGTCTTCATAGGCTTTTCCCGCATGGAACGCTAATGGAATAATTCTGCTAATTCTATGTCTTCATAGGCTTTCCTGCATGGAATCGCTACTACTGGATATCTAAATCTGCGCCACACTTCCCAGAATCTGCTACAGGATCCTTTTCACTTCTTCACATATCGCAAAGCACGATTGTATTTCTCAGCGGACAGCCACTTCTCTTTTACTGATGCTTCAGACCTGCCCAAACCAACTGAGCAAATCCCCATGTGAACTCCGTTTCTCAAGGCTACTCCTGCCAGAATCTCATGCGCAGTGTGTTTTAATTCATACTGGAACTCCGGATTCACAGGTCAGGTTTGGACAGAAGGGTTGCATATCAAAAACTGTGGTGGACAAGGGTGCATTTATACGAGGTCCGATACGAGGTCTATACGAGGTCAATACGAGGTCAGCCTATATGGTGTGTCCCGGAGCTCGCCATGAGCTTCTGAAGCGAGATTGCTCCACTTGAGCTGGCAACAGCAGCGGAGGAGGAAGCAGCAGCAGCAGGAGGAAGCAGCAGCAAGCAGCAGCAAGCAGCAGCCAGCAGCAGCCACACGCAGCAACCAGCATGTGCCCCCTTGAAAGAATGACCAAATATAAGTATAAGTTTGAAAAATCATGGCAGAAGTGGCTGTCAGGACAGCATCTATATACCATAGCTTCCATTGGTATACCCATGGAAGTTGCTGCAAGATTTAAACGTGCCACTTTCAAGCTGTCATGCAAAACCCAAGCTAAACGCAAAAAGTACCGACTTACCCCAATTGCTTTCCCGCATGGAAATGAACCGTTCAATTGCAAACAGAACCGATTTCCACATCCACCTGTAGATGCCCTCCAGTTTCTTTGGTAGCTGGTTACCCATCAAAAATGGCAACAACATGAAGGTATATGAAACATTCTGAAACTACCCATCCAGCTGTTTCCCCAGTCAATCCCCTTGTATTATTCCAATCATATGTCCATTAATTGTTCCTCATTCCCCAATTTTTGATAATTAAATCATATTAAATCCCTATTTGCATCCAAGGTTGGCCCTAGAATTCTTGGTTGTATCAACATCACTCACCCATCGCATCTTTATTATATACATGATTATACATACATATTTTTGATGGTTAACCTCCAGTGAACTAACATAGCTATGGAAAATTGTCATTTACAAATGATTTACAGCTATGTTAAATTACCAGAGCGTCAATCCCCATCAACTATCAATTTAACTATTAAAGGTGACATTCCCATTGATTGCATGTCCATTTTTGTGCCAAAAAAACATGGAAAATCTCCAAGGCCAGCCCTGCAGCGTATCACCTGAGCCCAATATCCATGGTAACCATAGCCAGATTGTCCATCTGGGCCATACCTTCAGGAATGCTGATCCCCCAATACTTACGGACGGTTTAGTTCATGGAAGATCCGATGACAATATATAAAAATGGGGTATTTTTGTAGTCATACCTTGTCATACCTTAAGGTTGAATCATACAGAGACGACTTGGACAATTGGTCATTTTTTGAGTTTAGTTCACCGTTGATGTTGGTTATCGTTATGGTGAAAAAAACAGGTGTACCACGGTTAAGAGATATACTCATTTCAGGATATATCCCAGGGATGGAGGAAAAAAAACAAACAAATCGTCACCTGAGCAGTGTTGAAAACCCTCTGTTGCCCACATATGTATATGTACTGAGTCATATGTCTGGTTTGATACAATTTTGGAACTACGTATACGCATGATAGTTACAATAAGTGACAAATCTTCAAACATCTGAGTAAATAAACCTGGTTGGTGGTATACCTACCGCTCTGAAAAATATGAGTTCGTCAGTTGGGATGATGAAATTCCCAACATATGGAAAGTCATAATCCAGTCATGTTCCAGTCACCACCAAGCAGATTTACATATTTCACCAACCTGAAACTTGCGGCCCATGGGGATAGTTAGGCATCTAGCCCATACCATCACCATCAAACCAGTGAGGTCAAGGCACAAGTTCAGTACCACGGGTGTTACCCATATACAGTCGAAGCCCATTCCTGAGCGAAAAAAAAAACAGTGGGCCCCACGAAGGCCCCACGAAATCCCTGGATGGTTCATGGCGAACTCCGGCGTTGTGTAAGCTCAGATACCAGGTAAAAAAACGCCATGGATTTCCTACACGGTGTGATGTAGAATATGTAGATGATATGCCTTCAGAATAGCTAAAAGATGCAGCCATCAATCAACCAAACCAAGATTTACCGAGTTTTCGAAACTTTCTGGCAGCTGGATGTACAGCAAATCTTCAAGGTGGTAACTGACAAGCCATCAGCCTTCAGCACAGACTACTGATGGTTTCTAGCCTGTCACTACTGATGGTTTCTAGCATGTACCTTTATATAAAGACTGTACATGCAAAATGTGGCAATCCCACCAAGACACATGCCAGTCGACTGCCAGTCGATGAGTCCATTTCTGAGGGATTTTATCCACACGTGTTTATTATTCCTCCCTTTTTTTGAAGCCATCTAAGCTCTGAAACACATTTCGTGAAGATTTTTAACCCTTGGAAGAATGCCTTAAGCTACCCAACCCCGGATCGACAAATCGATCGCCATCATCTGGGACCATCGGTGCCATGAACAAAATTACCCAGTCTTATCCCATCTCATGAAATAAAACCATGGTGAATATACGGTTAATATACTGTTAATCTATGGTTAATATGTGGTTATTATATGGTTAATGATGGTTAATAATCTGGTTGGTGGTTTGAACCACTCTGAAAAATATTATATATTCAATGGGAAGGATGACATCCCATATATTGTGGAAAATATTCACAATGTTTGAAACCACCAACCAGAAATAATAATTGGTTGATCAATTTCCAGTGGTTTATTGAAAGATAGTATGATAGATCTCCTACGAAATAATCCTATCCCAGTGGTTGATAGCTTTCCCCAGTCCTATGGCTTATCATAATCCCCAATATCAATAAATTAGGTAGTAAAAGTCCCTGCTTCTTAAATGTTCTCAACCAATCAGCCAGGGTATTCCACAGCTAAGCCGTGGCCAAGACATCCAAGACTCCCTGGATGTAGTCCAAATGCTCCGTGATGCCTATGGCACATGGTCTGATGATTTGCTTTGGTGATGCCCTGATTTACTTATTATATATACAGTACAGGATGGGGCCCCCAAGATAGCTAAGTTGGTTTACAAGTGGCTTAACAATGGTTTATGGTAGATATAACTATAGTTACTGGGGATTATAATGGTGTATAAACCAACTTATAACTGGGGGGCATCATCCTGTATCTTTATGTATCTTTTCTGTGGGGATCCCTTGAATGGTCTGGCGTGATTTGAGGGGCACCGATCATCTTCTTGAACAGGTGAAAAACTGAGATAGTCGAACTCCCGAGGCTTAAAACGCTCAAACGAGATTTGGTAAACCAAACCGAACGCGTCATTTGTTCAAGAGTCAATTGCAAAACCTCAAACAATGGGACAATTACGTGTGTATCTATCCATGAGAGCAATACTTGAAACATGTTGAAATCACCAACCGGTAAGTATGCACATTCTTTCCTGGTTGTATTTTCATTTATCTTTCGTACCTCTTCCTCTTTTGGTGGTTTGAACCAATACTTGAAACCATCAACCAGTCATCAGCGGAGTTTATTCTACTAGTTCGCATCCTAGCTGTACCCCAATTCTTGCCTGGTACAGTAAACTCCCCATGTATGGTTTATGATATTATAAAATATTATAAATCCCTATGTCCAATGCTTGGTGAATTGACTCCCCAGAAAACCACATAACAACAGAGCCGATTCATCAGATTTATCGGAGACGACATCGGCGCCGTAAGCTGGGCACATTCCAATTCTGTGGCACAAGGGTCGCTTCATTTTGGGATTCCCATCGTAGTGAAGATATGAAAATCAGAATCCCAAGTCAGAAAGATTCTGATTCACTCATGTTGGGACGGTTTCCCTTACCAAGCATCATCTGTGAGGGAATGTGAGGGAGCTGTGAGGTTGCTATAATTTATCCAGACATATGTCAAAGGGTTCAGAGGAAGCCTGGTACAGTAGAAAAAATCTCAATTATTAATCCTTAATAATTATTCCTGAATACACTAATACAACTGTCAACCATCAGGAGTGAAGTGGGGATGACAACGTCCATCACATCAGCGTTAGCTCATTTGGCTCATGGACATGGGGTGAGTCAAATTTGGGTAAGCAACACCTGTGGGTTCCAGGGCACTCACCCAAGCCCTGGCAAACTTTCATGGACCCTTCAAGAAGTCACATATCCTTAGCAGGATGCCAGCCATATCCCTTCATTCATATCCTTTCATATCCCTTCATCAAAATCTACAAAATCCCGCAGCTTACATTGAAATCCAAAGTGAAATCCATGTTTCAAACCATAAAGACCAACCGTGCCCCCCTCACCGTCACCTTGAAGAGTGCCATTGCACCAGTTGTTCCCTTCACAGCTGCTGTGGTCACCCTCAGGAGGACATTCCACATTGACCCCTGCGGCCCTAAACGAATGAGAGCTGCTGACCCCACAATGATAGTTGGTTCATAAGCCCTTAGTGTTGTGGTTGGTATTGAATCAGCCTTCAATAGACCCGTGCCCATATACCTTATTATCCTTCTTGAAAAAGTCGCCTTATTCTTGTTCAGTCCCCACAAAGAACTATGGGGCTCTGGAGACTATGAGCAGTCTGACCAGCTTCCCGAGAAATTCGGGGAATTGGCTATGGATGAAGATAGTGTCCAAGAAAAAAAAAATCCTGGCCGCCAGTAAACACCAATCCTCCAGAAAATATGTCATGTATATTGCAAAATCTATGGGGTCCTTTTGTTTGGAGGACCGCAAAATCATCCAAAATTGGTCATGTTTTTAATGGGAAACCATTGGGTGGGAGGATTTGGAGGTATTAACTGCGCTCAAGGATCCCTACCAGAAACCACTTTAATGGACCGCACAGAAAAACAAGTCTCTGATAATGTATATAACTTGGCAGCGGAAAATAGCAATGCTTAATGCGGGCAATACCCTCTGGTAATTTGTTACAGTTTGCTATTGAAGCCATGGCCATAGAAATAGTTGATGTTCCCATCTAAAAATGGTGATGTTCCATGATTTTCCATAGTTAACTTGTATGTTTACCAGAGGCTAACGTATTATCAAGTCATTGTGTCCACAAATGACCGGCCGTCGCAAGGTTTGACGACCAGGTACAAGTCACCCTCATGCAATGCATCCCCCTTCAAGCACTGAAACTCTGTAGATATTCTATGAAATTGTGACGAATCATCCCTGGAATCATCAGAAAGTGAGCAGTGTTCAAAACAAACCAGCACACGAACCCGGAACAACGACACAAGGCAATGTCGCACGTACAGCCGGAACCTTGTACGGGTTGGTTGAGAGCAATTCCCAAGTAATGGGTCGCTTCATAATCCTGTATCAATAACAAATGGTAACTCATCAACCATCAATCAACCATCATTGTTCAAAAAATCATAGTAGTTTGACGGTTAAAATATGTTAAAATACTGTATTTCATGCCTACAACTAAATGGTCAACCAACAACTTTCTGGCGCACATACCCCATTCTTCATGGTTAAAACCCCATAATTAATATTCATGGTTGACATCATCCCCTTATCGCTCAACTGGTAAGCCATTAACCAACCATGTTTCCTCGTTGAGACCCCTATATATGTGAAGTGATTCCCATTGAACAACTGTGATTATAGTTAATTATATAGATATTTTCAAATATGTTGATGATATAGTTCACTATAGTTGTCAACAAGAAAAGGTATGACCCAACATTATACAGTAGTATATTATAGTATGTTTAGTTATTAGGTAATTAACTATTGTTATGATGTGTTATGTATATTACAGTAGAAAAAAAAAAAATATATTCTCTAACATTACATAGTTCACCATGGTTACCCTCTGGTAATTTAACATAGCTATTGAAAATTGCCATAGAAATAGTGAGTTTTCCCATTAAAAGTGGTGATTTTCCATAGCTATGTTAAATTACTAGAGGGTAATTATAGCTATATTGCCCGTCTTTTTCAGTCGTCAGTGCGGCGCAAGGCGCCGAAAACCGCCAAGGCACAGCACTGACGCCTCCCTCACGTCCAAAGCGATCCGGCATCACGAGGTACACGGACTTGCCGTCGATGGCATGCAGGCCTCCCCCATATGCGATGAACAACACGTTTTTTCTTTGTGAAAACTGCAGGTAAATAATTTTAAAAAAAAAAAAACATGGCAATGTTCAGCCGGGGGTAGATTGGATGTACAGAATATGTGTAATATATATATATTGTATATATTGTATACATTGTATATATTGTGTATATATATATATATATTGTGTATATATATATATATATTGTATATATATATATATATACATGATACATGTGAGATATACTGGGGATATCTTGGGTATAGCATGGTATAACTCAACATAACCACCAGTATGACATGGGGGTGTCTGAAATTTCAAGGAAATCACCCGAAAAATGCACTAAATCCACATCTCCCATTGGCCAAAACAGACTCAGTTGGGTCCTTTTAGGGTCCAAAAAACTGTACAGTAGATTGATTTATACCACTATTCCTATAAATGGGGATGACTATAGCAATCCCAAAAAATAGAAGAGTGTTTCCATATTAGTAATGATTCACTGTTGTATCTTTTTTGGAGTGAGTGATTGGTAAGCGGCCGGCTCAAAAGGTGGTCAAACTGATTAAATGTGGGGATCAAAATGCTGACCATGCCAACAAAATGTGGGGCCAGAATGAACGGGATGGTAATTTACCAAGTTGTATCTTTGGGCCATTGGGGCTGTTCCATTTTGACTCACGCCGATTTCGGAAGTTTCGAGTTCGAAGTCATGGTCGTAAATGATGTATATATAGTGTGGGTAGCTAAGGAACCAGGGATGGACAAAAATGTGTAGCTCGACTTCCGGAACCACAGGTAATGGTAGCATCAAACCAAAGGTTAGCTGGAGTTTATTAGAGTTTCGCCCATCCTAAATCTTGTCTGATACTTTCATACACTTTCCTTTCGTCTATCCGCTATGGCATTCCCTCAGTAAATGGTGGCTCTTACCCAGGCCCAGTCCATCACTAGTTGAAACACCCATCACAAAGCTCTAGCTGTTATTCACAGTCTTCAATGGACTGGTTAAATGGAAAATCGACAAAAAACTGGTTGGTTTTACAAATCAAATATAAGTGTTTTTCTGTAGATTTTCCCTTGAACCAATCCATTGAAGTCTGGGTCAATTTTTCAATCCTCATGATATTGCCTCTTTGTTGCTTGCAACATGTTGAAACTTTTTTGGGTAATTGTTTGGCAGCCAAAAAAACTAAGCCTTCCAACGGGGACGAATCGTTCTTGTGTTCAATCCTTGCTTGATATCCCCAACTGTGCAAATCCCATCATATTGCCCATGTTATCTGGTTGGTGGCTTCAACCCCTCTGAAAAAAATATGAGTTCGTCAATGGGAAGGATTATCCCATATATCCCATATGGAAAAATAAAATTCATGTTCCAAACCACCAACCAGTTATAAATCTCCTCATGATATTTGCCATACTCATATCTTGCTTGAAAACGCTGCTTGAACCACAGGGTTCCCTTCTGAAACTCAGCTTGAAATTCAGGATGTTGCGGCCGCAGTTTGCTGCGCAGTGATGGGCCAGAAACTACCAGCTACAAATGGATTCAAAAAAATATGTGAATGTCAGTAAGGTCAACCCCGGATTAATAAACCATGGTTTATGAAAATTAGGGGGGGGTACTCCTCCAATAGTCATTTCATCTGATACTTCAATGGTAGCCTCCCAATTAAACAATCCTTGGCGGAATCTTGGGACCCATGGGGATGATTCCCGTTACAAAAAAAAACCAAAGTCTCGACGTCACATTTAATCCCTATCAATCACCATGAAATACTATGCATAAATATATATATGGTGTTTTACTGTTGATTACTGATTCCTTACCACTGATTGATCACATTGCACTGATCATATTCATGAATCAGTTGTTACATCAATTACAGTTCAATTACATTCAATTACTATTAATATTAATCATGGTGAATCTTAGATACCTGCCAAAAATCTATGTTTGGGCTGGTTAGTACATGCTACCATTGATAGCAAAAGATTCAAGTACTACTTAGTATCTAACCAGTTGGCCCAATCCTGTAAGGATGCTTATCATAAAAATCAGCAGCTTAAAAATCTCATGGTCAATCCCCATTGTTTGTTTGCTGCTTTTTACATGGTTTTCCACCAGCATTTGCCAACTGGGTTTTGGCTTGTTAAAAATCACCATATTTTCCTTACCCATAGGATCCATGTATGCTATATATGGTGACATGTGCCATCAATATACCCCCAATGTTAGCATATATACCAGCACCATGGATCCTATGGGTTATGGAAAGTGGTCATCTTTTTTCCTCATGGCCATCCTCCGGACCAGTTTTTTCCCCATCCCCTCCTCGCGGTTGGTGCCCAGCGTGCCCGTAGTGCCGTGGTGACTGGGGCATGGTGCAGATGACGTTTTGTTTTACCCATATGGCTATGGATCAATACCTATAAGTACCATTTTTAGGGGAATGAACATCCATTTACCAGCTATTTTGATGTTCACCAGGGGTACAAGGTTTTGACACACTGCCATATATATTATAGATACACAATGTGTTCCGAACGCATATTTTTTTTAAATATGTGTGTGTGTTTTTCCACTATAGTATCTTTTTTTTTTGGCCTTCCCAAAGACATCTGTATCATGTTCCAGGTTCTATGGATCCACGTTAATGACCTGGTAAAACTGGTAAACCTTGTAAACGATACCTAATCTCACCATCGGCCAGAAATATGAACCAGAAACTGGTGAAACTGGTGAGTTGGACTTGGACTAACTTAACCCAGATATTCCGCAAACATATCCATATAATCAATACATATCATATGTTCATATATGTTCCCTTCCTCAATACGGCGTGCCCGGCCAAGGTCTCCTTGTCCTTCCTTCGACGCCATGGCTTCCTCTGAAGGAGCTTCACGTCTTCGCAGTCCTTGGCGTCCGCGGGTTGTGTCAAAAACCCTCAGAGAATCCCAGTGAAGAAACAATAATGGTTATCAATAATGGTTGTCAAAAATGGTTGTTATCAATAACATAACAAAATTGGTTAATAATGGTTAATCATAATGGTTAATCTACTGGTTATTATCAATAACATAACAATATTGGTTAATAATGGTTAATAATAATGTTTAATAATGGTTATCAACCCCATAGATTAAATGATGGGTTAACAAAAAGAAATCTCTAGGCTTGATGAATGTGGGTAAAACAGTGCCATCTGCATCATCTCCCAATTTCACCATTTTTATAGGTGGTATGGTTACCATTCCCAGGTGGTTTATGACCTTGTTTTACCCACATTAATGGGAATTCCCAGATCAGGGATGATTATTCCCATTAGATTGGGTAGTATAAGCCCCTACAAGGCCCCACAATCATCAACCCGATGGGTTTTTCTGGCTGAGAATGGCTTCTGAATATGTTCTTTTTTTGGGTACCAATAGTGGTTTCAAAACACTTCAACACCACAACATATAAAGGTCAAACAGGATCCAAATATATATATATATATTATATATAACTTAAATAAGTATGGCTCAAGGGGAACCAATGGACACATAAAAGTGTAGTTGTCTTGACTATATCAAAGCACATTTGGGCATCCAATTCGTGCGGCAAATGATCCCTGCAGTCAAAACAATGGTCAGGAAATCACAACTGCTTACCCTCTGGTAATGTGTTACATAGCTATGGAAGCCATGGCCCATAGAACTAGATGATAAAAATGATGGCTTACCTATTCAAAATGGTGATTTTCCATAACTGCGTTCAATAACCAGAGGCTAAATTTGGGCCCGTTGATAAGTACAACCCAGTGATCCAAGGTGGTCCCTCCCCCCATGATGTTCGTTGCTGAAGCCCGTGGGAAAATGGAGGTTTTGGTGGGAAACTCCATGGAAAATCAATCTGGTTGGTGGTATACCTACCCCTCTGAAAAACATGGCTTCGTCAATTGGGATGATTCTTCCCAATATATGCAAAAATAAAATTCATGTTCCAATCCACCAACCAGCCACGAACTATGGCTAGGTATTTTCCAGCCAGCTTTGATGACAGGGGGTAGCTCCAGGGGTCCCAGTTGCCTCACTGACACAGGCGGAGCGATTGGATTCCGCAGCGAGGACGCAGAGAATAGAGAGGGCCAGGGCGGCCAGGGCAATGGATGCCATGGCACCGCCCCCGGCCCAAGCGCTTTTTGAGCAGTAGGAATAGAGCTGCGAGGATGATGATGATGATGATGATGATGATGATGATGATGATGAGTGATTTACAGGTTGTAAAATAAAATAATAATAATAAAAAATAAATCATGTTTCACGATAACATATCTTTAGGATCATGAGACAATCATGACAATCATCAGCCCTCCTGGGATCTTAACGAAACTATCGATGGTTCTTCACATTGCGTTGGGAGCTCTTCACAACACATAGTTCCTCTTAAGTTTTTTCAAGAGATTCATGGTTTCATGGGGGCCCATTTGGCAAAGCAACCAGCAACCAGACAGTAACTGGTCAAAAAACTTGAATGGACCAACAGAAAGTTTTTTTCGGCTGGCTTCTTAGAGGGCCGGGGTCATCAACCCGGAAATAAAACAATCAAAACTCATGAACATTGGTGACAAGTCCAGACTCTGTATCATGAACTGCATGGTCACAATTTCATGCATGTAGTCTGGAGATGTCTTGGAGAATTTGCAATCCCCGGACCAGAGTCGCGTTTGATCGATGATTCCATCTGATTCCCCAAGCGCCAATCATCGGACTGAGATTGTTGTGCTCCATGCAACGCACATTGAACCTATTGGTAACACCGGTGATTGTGAAATTCACCCATTCCTAGACGATTTCCCTTGATCATTGTGAAACCTGGTGATTTCCCTTGATTTCAGAGTCTGAAACCAAAGGCCACCCATCTCTCATCATTGAGATCCCGCCAGTACCCAAACGAACCCCAGTCATATAGGGGGCATTGAATATGAACGAAGGATGAGAATATCTTTCCCCTTACCAATCACCATTTCCATCCAGCATTGCTGCACATCATTTCGGTCTGTCCGAAAGTGGGTTGCTCCTCATATGTTCAAATCTATATACAGTGAATGGTCTTGGCTTATTCATAGAATATATCAATCATATATAAATCAACCATATGTTATTTTTTGATATGCTAGTTAAATTATTGATAGTGGATTATTTATGTATAACGTGCTTTTTCCATAAAATAACATTAGTTTTTATAGTTCAATCCCGCATGTTTTTTTCGGCCCCATCCAGATTGATCACAAACAAATCGGCTTCCCAGCGGCGCACCTCCTCTTTCCTGGAGATTCGATTGGATCCTGGGCAGCAGTGGTTCAGCATGACGATCACCGGCTTAAAAGTCTATAATTATGAACCATTAAAAAAACAATTAAAAACAAAAAACATGAATTATAAGCTTAAAGAAAATCTGTAGCTCCGAAAACAGTAGCTCTTCTTAGCTCTCCATTTTTCAGGAGCTCCTTAGCTCCCATCGTGGCCTCCTCATGACTGGGGCACAGCAAGTTGGGCGCCCGTCCACCTGGCAGCATAACCATGGAACAATGTGGGCCCGCCCTAACGATAGTCAAGTAGATCTAAGTGGGTTTAGATTCACCCCATGTTTTGTTTATAGTTATGTTTGTATCATAAACCATAGTTTTTGGAGTTATGTTCACCAACTTGGCTATCGTTTGGGGCCCCACTTTGTAGCGGTTTTGACCCACTTCGCCATAGTGTCCCATATTACTGTTTTTCTGAAGTGGTTCAACTGGCTTTAAAATCAATGTGTTGGTCGTTTTGTAGGATTCCAGGTTTCAACCCGTCTTTTTTGGTTATTGCTTGGGATTCTGGCGGGATCAAATGAGATGTTGCAAAAACGCGGATTTCACCCAACAGGACGTCACCATCAACTAATTGGGATTTTGAGCAAACAACTACCCCCATGTAGGGCAGGTAAAACTGGGTTTCCCCCTGATATATAGTACGTGCACAGTGGGATGAACACGTTGCAACAGGTTGTCGGAATGTTCATGCTCTCACAGGAAGGGCCTATAGATATATATATATATATCTATATGTATAATATATATATATATAATATATATATATTAATCTATATATATATAATATCTATATATATATATACATATTATATATATATATTATATATATTATATATATATATATTATATATATTATATTATATATATATATATTATATATATATATATTATATATATATATTATATATATTATATATATATCCACTACTAAAGACCCCTAGTTAACCTGTTTTTTTCACCAACTTGCGCCGGCCCTTCTTCTATGCACCACTTAAAGGCTCCCCCTGGCACCACTGAAGCGTTCCAAGTCGTGACGGGTCGAGTGCACTTGTTTGGGGTTTCCATAAATGGGGCTATCCAACAATGGATGGTTTATAATCTATAAATGGATGATTTGGGGGTACACCCATTTCAGGAAACCCCCATATATGTATATATACATATTGTATATTTGAATATGAACTGACTCCAAGCAGTACAGCAAAAACAAAAACGTCATTGAGGCAATAGGATGAGATAAACCCAGTGCCATAGACCATCCCCAGTTGGGGTCTCTTATTGGTAGACCGTATTTTGGAGATAATGTCAACTGACTTCCTTAAATGGTTCGTTGAACATGGTCAGACTTTGCTAGTCATCAAACAGATGGTCATAATATGTCATGATCAATCTTTCGCTGTTTTTTTAATGGAAAATTGTCAATAATCTGGGTAAATTATAATATTTCACTAACCTGAAATAAGGCCATTTGGGGATGATTTCCCTTACTAACCATGATTCCCAGGGTTCAGTCGTAGTGAGGTCGTTATAATTTACACAGAATAATTATAGCAAAAAAAAACTAGACATGCTTAGTTTCTACCCATCCAGATCAGTGATCTCCGCCTCGGCCCTGGAAGTAGATGTGAACGTGCCAGATCTCGGAACGCGCTGAACGCGTGTTGAGGACCCCAAAAAAGGAGGGACCAGTGGGGATGCCGGTGGGGAGAAATGAAGCCGCTCAAAATAGCCCGTTTTGGTTGAAACTGTCCCATTCATATCACTTCATATATGTCCATTAAACATCATTAATTAAACCGGATAGTATAATCCTTATTTCACAAGCAATCAACATGTTTTTTTTCCATGGCTCAATTACTTAATTCTGGTTACATCCCCGTGGTGTTGAATGGTCCACTGTAACCCCACGTCGCAATGAATACACGAACAGCATGGGGGGTTAAATTGGAGAACCCCAAGTCACCATAGGCTTCAATACTAAAATGATAAAATGGACTATATAATGACTCCAATGAATTGGGGTACCCCCATTTTAGGAAACCTCCAAGTAGGCTAGAGCCTGCTCAGACTGTCAGATACAGGGCTTCCAGAGTGTTTTAGGGTTGGTGCCAAGCGTGGATAGACACACCCAAAGGGGTTGGTCCATCAAAAACATCCTCATACTGATACTCACCGTAAAATCAGGGCACATTGGGATTTGGCATTTGGCTTCTGCTGAATGGACGCCAAGTATCCAAGTCTATAATTTTGTTGTGTATCCAACATGTTCGGGCGCAAATACTACAAGTTGGACGTGTCCCACAAAACTGCCAGGATGCCCTTTTGAGCCCCACAAACCACTGGTTACTCCCCAGAAATCAAGATGGAAGTTTCAACATGAAACCCAACAAACTGTCATCTTCAAACCTGATGTTTGCGCGTTCCCCTCATGTTACTTCCATACCCCATTGGATGTAGAGATATGTAGAGACATCCCCGCAAGCTGAATCGTCCAATTCTTGATATCCACGGATTGGCTTAGTTGGGACAATCTACAGGGAACCCACCATATTTCATAGGAAAAATCCATGGGAAAATCCATGAAATCCTGTAGATTGTCCCTTGCCATCCGTTGCTACCACCTGACCCAGGCCCAGTAGCCTCAAAACCCTCCACCATCCGACGAAACTCATACGCCACGGGGCATTAATGGTGCGGCGGCCACGGTTGTCGTCATAATTCCAGGAAACCACCTGGGAATCTGACGGGATCTGACAGGTCGAACCTTCCATCTCCGGCATGTCCAGAAAAATTTTGCTGAGTACCATCTGGTGAAATGACATTCACAGTTTGCCATGGAAGCCATCACCATGCTATTTTCATAGGCTATGGGTCATCTATACCATGGCAAACTGTTAAATAACCAGAGGGTAGAACAAAAACATGTCCTGCATTGCCGATTTATGCCGATTTGGAGCTATGGCCTGACAAAACATGGTATGATTGTTGTTTTTGGTCCTGGGCATTGTGTTTCTCACGATGTTTGCCCTGAACATGGGGTAATCACCCCCGCTGCTTAGAGAGATTCAACCAATCCCCAAGACTGACCCCAATTTTCTCAGGGCTCTGTTAAAGGGCTCTGTTAACCACCAATAATGACTAATGAGGGGGTGGTTGGGGGTGTTGGTTCCCATGACATCAGGACTGGGTTCCCTCACGTGATGTGGTTCCCGTGCATCCAGCCATGCCTGACGCATAGGATAATTCGTCTAGTACAACGATACGCTGTCACTCCGTATCTACAATATAATATGTATACATACGTATATATTATATGTGTATGTGTATATATATATATTATATATATTATATATATATATTTTATATATATATATATATGCATACATGTATATATATAACAGTATCAACAATAATTATAGAGTTACGATGAAATCCTTATTCCTTACATGTCCCTTTGGCCGACTGAATCAAATGAAGATGCAACGTTTAAAGTTTAGCTCCCCCGTAGCAGTAAGTCCCGTGCAAAGTCGTGGGCTAGCCATGGGTACCCTCCGTAGTCTGAGCGAGCGATTGAAAATCCGCAATTCCATGTGTATATAGAATTATATAGATATATCATATCTATGAATGTATATCTATATAGAGATAGGTTTCAGATGTTCAACATGTTCATTTATATATATATATATATGTATCCATTTATGCATATGATTATTTTCTCATCAGAAAATGGATTTATTTCTGGCAGGAACATCAACATCTTGTGTCAAGAACACTCTTTGTGCAAATATTCAACTGGCCGCAAAAACAATGACTCCCAGCAAGATGATATGTTGGTTTGTGTTTGAATGATATGTTCCTGAATCGAAGTTTGCATGAAACTGACCAAACTCCCCCTTCACCAAACTGTACACGGAAATCTTCCAAGCAAAATTGTCCGATTCAAAAAGCAACTGTATTTCAATCAGCCATGAGAATGGCATGGAATAGCTAGCTGCTAGCTGTAAAATCATGAGCAAATGATAACAACGCTGCACCAAGCAGTGGAGAAACTCAGCTGAACATATCGTATTCGTCAAAAAGAAACTCAATGAACATCAGCTTTTTGGTCCGCCCATTTTGGGGATTGTTTCCTTTAATGACTTCCATGACGAGTTTCCATGACTTGCTTTCCATAGGTTAGCCACCACTGTCGAACCTCCACATAATCACAGAGTTCCTGGTGATCCATTTGCTTCCTCGCAGGAGAAGGCTGGAGAAGTTTATGCGGTGCCGGACATCAGAATATAGCAGAATGATGGAACCATAGAAGTCCAGCAATCGTGGTTCTACATCCTCTATATATATATATATATGTTTCTATGATGTTCGAAAAGTTGGTTTATAAACCTCATTAGCTATACTTATAAGATCTTATAAGTATCATAAACCATATAGTTATACCATATAGTTATTGGAGATTATTGGAGTCTATGGGAGTTATTTTTATGTGATTTGCACCAACTTAGCTATCGGGACGGGGCCCCATTTTCTATGCTGCATGACCTGAAATTCAGGATGTCACATTGCTATGATCCACCAGGAAACATCCAGCGCTAAGCAATGATGACCACCAAATTCTTCTTGCAAACATCCCATTATGGTAAAGTGGTTAAAGCCAATAAGAACCCATCCGATTCACCAAGCATTTGCGCCTCATCAACATCATCCCATTTTCTAGGGGGTACACCTAGTAATAAACCTCTTTTATAGCCTTGGGCGTGCCCCCGGTGCCCGGCCTGCTCCAAATGGTCCAATGCTCGGCCCCAGGTGGGAGTTCATAAGGAAACTTGTTCCGCTCCAAGAGCACTTGCCGACTGGGCAAACAGGCAGGCAAAGGCTTTACCCTAAAAAGCTGCCATCATGGCTATATAGAGGGGACATCCCCATAAATATATATATATATATATGTATATATATATATGTATATGTATATATGTATATATAATATATACATATATCTGTAGACTGGCATTTAAAATGGGGAAATCATCTATAAATTGGGCGTTTTCCGTTGCCATCTTTGGTTATGGGAGGGTAAAGGGATTGTTGCAAGAAACATCAAGAAACCATATTTTTAACTCTTAAACATGGGAGAGTTCCAGAAAAATTGCTTCATCCAATCTCTCGGAAGACATGAACTGAGCTTTCTACCCTCCGAGGAATTCGAAAGGATGAACCAAATGTGAACTGGAATATTTTCATAATATCCCAGATGATGTCATGCATGAAGATATAGGTCTATGTAAAAACATGTAGAAAGCCTGGTGCTTTGGTTCATCACATCAAGTGAAGTCATGGCGAATCAAGTTTTCAGCGCAGAAAAGTTACATTTTTGACCGGCCTGGTAATGACTAACAGTTTGCTATTGAAAATGGCCATAGAAATAGTGAGTTTTCCCATTAAAAATGGTGATTTTCCATAGTTATCTTAGTTTACCAGGGGGTACTCATAGAAATGGCCAAACAACCTCTTTGGGACCAGTCATTTCAGGCGCGGACCATTTCTGGTTCTTTCATATTGTTTCCCTGGAAATGATGTCAACCAAGTCTTGGGAATGGAATTCGGGTTTGTCCCATGCCCAAATGGGGCTCCTCTCACCAGAGCTAAGTTGGTGAACATAAGTCCAATATACTCCAATAACATATGGTGTCTTCTAAAAACCCCGAGTCCCGATTATGGTTTAGGATAATCTTGACATCTTACAACTATACTAAATAGTTTTTCTGGGCTTTTTTTATGAGGTTTTCCTTTACCATCCCCCCAACGGTTGGACCATGTTGGACCCTTGCAATCTGGGCGGAAAATTGGCGACAAAAAGCCCATCATGGCATGGTTCAACCATGGCTTTTAAAAACCCATTGTGGGCATGGCCAATCTGGGCAAGCTTGACCCCGAGCAGCCAACTTCTGTCATCCAGTTGCTGTCTTCGCTATTAAAATTCGTCAAAGGGAACATTAAAACCGGAAACCGAGTGTAAAATTGGTGGCAAACAAAAATAATACATCAAATTCCCTGGGTTTCCTGGACAAATTCCTTTAAACCAATCATGAAGATATAGATATAACATTATAACCGTGCTATCGACAGTGGATATGAACTGGCACGGCTCCAAGAAGGGATCTATCGATGGTCGGATTTTTCCGATGTCCTCCGATGTCCCTGCCTGCCCAAGACATGCTTGTCCACATAGTATTCCTTTGTGGACGAAGGTTTTTGTTGCAGTGTTCCTGGAATGGGGGTACCTTAATATAGATGGTCTATAATAGAAGATCCCACTAAAATGGATGATTTGGGGCCGTACCCCTATTTTAGGAAGCGTCCATATTCACCTGTTGGGCCTGTTGGGTTGTTAATGGGGTTGCTTGCCCCTCAATTGTTGCTTGAAGTTCCTAGGTCCTAGCTTGTGTTCAGTACTTCCATCACTTAACTCCCATATGAAGGTTTCCTAGAACGGGTTACCCAAAAACCATGGGTTTCAATACTTAAATAAAATTCTGGCTGATTCGGGGTTCCCCCATCTTCAGACACCGTAAAGTTCCACTCAAATTGGTTTTGACATAGTTATGGGTCAATTCACATATGGAATACCCTTCTGCTCACCCGAAAATCGCTGGGATTTCTGTTGCCCCAAAACATGTTCACGTCTTTGAACATAAGCTTCCCCCACCCCAAAAAAAAAAACTAAGTTTTCCCCATGGAAATGGCACGAACGGTGGCATTTCACCCCTCCCACCAAGCGCATCCCAGGAACGCGATCACCACGGTAGACGCGATCCATCCAGGCTAACCTGACCACGGGAATTTCGATGCAGATCATCTTTTCTTAAGGAACATGTGCATATGTACTTAATATATATATATATACGTTATATCATGAGGGTTTCCAACATAACATGCACGGCTTTCGCAATTAAAACTCCTTACAAGGACCTTTAGATCGATTCCCATATATATATATTAATCATGCTGGAGTAGATTTATGGCCATTTCAAGAATTCAGTATTCCAACTACTGCAGGATGATTTTATATAGTATTATATAACTATTTCAGTAGGAATTTACATGTCTATATTTTTTGGTGTTACATGGTGTTACTATATAATATATACTGGTTGGTGGTATACCTACCCCTCTGAAAAATGATGGACTTCGTCAGTTGGGATGATTATTCCCAATATATGGAAAAATAAAAAATGTTCCAAACCACCAACCAGATCCAACCAGTATATATATATATGTATATATATATATATATGGGTAAATTATAATATTTCACTAACCTGAATTAAGGCCGTTTGGGGATGATTTCCCTTATTAACCATGATTCCCAGGGTTCGGTCGCAGTGAGGTCGTTATAATTTACCCAGATATATGTACATAGTACATCCATATGGTGGTTGATCTAACTTCCTTCATCACCTCATGATGTTTTCACGGTCATCGCGATCTGAAACGTCCTTGATGGGGGACCTTTAGACCGATACACAGCTATGGCAAATAGTCCATTTATGGATGATTTACATACCTATAATCCTATATTTACCTATGAAAAATGGTGATTTTCGAGTTCGCTACGTTAAATAACCAGTGGCTATCCATCGTGGAAGTTTAATAAAAAGTTGTTTATATTATATAAGCCCAACAATAAAGATTCATTGTTTGGCAGTTTTTACTATCCCCCCTCCAAATGGTGAAACTGAGCAAATTGGGGGTGCTGCGTCTCAGCGTTGGGTTACCCCGTTCCCAAAAAAAGAATCCTAGAATGGTCGTGATCATCTGGTGATCTTGGGATGTGAATTTATCAACTCCACCTTTGTGACTACATTATAATCGAACCTGGCATTTCACCATCGTCGCTTAAATGATAGTTCATCTATTGTTCCATCAAAAATCCTGCAATGTTCCTGGATTTTTGAATTGTCATGGTGAGATTACTGGGTCACCTAGGCATTTTTGGGGGCATTTTTCGATGGCTCACCCTGCCCTGCCTGGCATCCTTTCTCTTTGTGACCTCTTCGTTGCGTTTCCAAGGCCTGCTTGGATCTCCATGTTGCGCGGTCTTCAAGCGAGTATGGATATGTTCTAATCAACTGGGGGGAAAAAGTGGATGCCAACTTTTGCCAAAAAAAACGAACATCCTAGACACTTAAGTACCTGGAAAAAGTAGATAAAAGATGATAAAAGTATCTAAAAATGCTAAAGAATTATTCAGAACTATGTGGGAATATACCAATACATAATATCATACCAACTCCTACGGCTACTCGGATAAAGACCACTTAATTTCTGGAGGAAAGCAGCAGAAGTTTCTTCATTTCTGAAGGATCTCAGGCTTCATGAGTGAAAATCCACCCAAAAAAAGTCGGAGTATCCCATGTTTTCGGGTTAAGACTCCAATTTTTGCTGATTAAGAGTTGGTTTCAAATGATCCAACTTGGCCAAATCCCAAACGTCCAAATTCTGGCTGGTCAAAATTGGTGTCAAGTTTAAACTACCAGTAGTACCGCACAAGGCAGTGGCGGAAGTTTCAGAATAGGAAACCTCTAGGAGAGCTTGGTTGCTGTGAATCGCGGATGGCAGAGCGAACCCACTTGACTTCTAAACTTCCTTCGATCATATGCATGCCAGTTGCATCCAATGGGTACTAACATAATTAGTCCTGAAAAACATCCCTCTCCCCGTTGTGCTTGGTGAATAGGTCTCTGAATTATGGCTTATCATAATCCCATATAATTAATCCCCAATACATGACAGTACAACACCTTTGTTTATAATATGCAATACCCCCCAAAACCATGGTTTTGTAGAGGATTTACGCATGTTTGGGACCATAGAAATGGGGTGTTTAATACCGGGATGGGATTAAGAGGAGTTGGACACTCTCATTGCCAACAAATACTGGTGATGCTCAAAATCCCGAAAAAAAGGATCAAAAAGGAACATTTACCAACCCCAAAAATGGTTGAACATACACAATACCCCATGGTGAAACGAATCTTTTCCCAGCAGCCTGGCCCCATTCGTGCGGGCCCCAGGTTTAGGGGGATGGGAGTGATAGCCTATCAACAATGGGAACGCTCCAAATGACCATTTAATACGGAAAATGCTTTAGACAAACCCGTTGGAATAAGGGCCTGTTAAGGGGTACCCTTCAGACAAACCCACATGACCCACAATTCTTCAAACATTGCTATGAGTCAGAATGAGTCAGACAACCTGGCACCCGTACCCTGAGTCCCCTGAGTCATAGCTGGTGAATGGACCAATGGGTGCTTATTCATGTTTATTCCCCCAACCATGGTAAGTTCATAGGTTCATACTAGTAGGTAACAAACGACCCATCCCGAAGCGTGTCCGAGCCGCCCAATTCGCAGCTTCCGGCGGGAACCGGCTGAGGGCGAGGGGGGCCGAGCGCCGTCTGGAGCCTGGTTCAGGTGCAGTTGGCTTCTCGTTGTCATAGTAATAAAGCCCATAACCATGGTGAATCTTGATGAATCTTAGATACCTGCAAAACCTGCCAAAAAAATGATTTTTTTGATGTTTTTGGCACTAATTCTACCATAGAAAAAGATTAGGTAGTACTTACTATATAGTATCTCACCAGTTGGTTGACCCACAGTAGTTTTGGGCAATGTTTCTGCCAGCGAGCTCTGTGCATACCGAAGTAGGTCAGGGGGCACCACCTTCTACGGAAAATAACCAACCAGTTTATGGGACTATTACGGGTCTATCATATAGTTGGGGATATAATGGAACTGACCCTACGCTTCCACTGATTTTTTGCATGACCAAAAAACATGGCCTTAACCTCCATATCCTGTATCAGTGGGTTCTACATCCAAACCTTTTTTGTTGGTGTATCCCCATGGGCCTGGTATGGCCTGGTGTTTTAGGGGGTTATGTCCCAACTATTCCCAAGGTATATGTCCAACTTATCGGGTTATATCATTAACATTCATTGATATCGGGTATATAAGTTATATAATTTATTGACAATCATTGATAGGCAAAAGAAATCCAACTTACATTTGAACAGCCAAAACTCAGCCAAAACACTGCCGGGATCAATTCCGGTGATCTTCCCGTGGCCACAAGCTGCATGATTGGCTTGTTGGCACAGGCATTTACAGGAAAACTGCGTTTTTCTCAATTGTATAATTGGTTGGGTTTCTGTGATTTCTGTATTGAATGGGTTCCCCAATGGCAAGGGTTTACTGAACACCTAAGATATCAGGTGGGGTATCTAAAGATAGGCAAGTTGGTGTACAACTAGTCTAACATTCGGATCTATGCTTGATATCTCAGCTCAGTTGGATGTAAATTAAACAAAACTGATGCAAAAATAATGTTCAACAACTTATGCAAAAAAAAGACTGGGTCTAGGCTTAGGCATTTTTCTGCTAAACTTACAGTATCTGAAATGGCAAATCTCAACGCTGCCGCTTGTGTCACCATTTTCCATGGCCATCCTCCTGAATGACACGAAGCGAAAAACAAATCGTTCCATCGTTCCTATATGTTCCCATTCAAGGTCGATTCCTTCACTGGTGATACACTCTGGTAAACATACAAAAAGCTATTGAAAATGGCCATTTATAGTGGATTTTCCCATTAAAAATGATGATTTTCCATAGTTATGTTAGTTTACCAGAGGGTAACATGTGGCGCGTTGTGATTCAAAACTCCGCACTGGGACATCTCCGTGGAACTACCAGAGGTAGCGTCATCTGTAGCGCACTGAAAGACCTGTGCTGTTGTGATCAGCATGAAACACTTGGCATTGCAACTTGGCTAGTCCCGCCTTTCTTTTTAGTGGATGTATGTTTGTTTCATGATATATAGGCCATAATATGCCAGATGATGATATATAATGATGATACATGGTTGATATATGGCCATACAGTAATCATAGCCCATACCCTCTGGTTTTCTTCAACAGTTTGCTATAGAAAATCACCATCTTTGTTGGCTACATCAACGATTTCTATGTGGTCCATAGTTTCAGCGACGTTACCAGAGGCTATCCCCAACTCCTGGGGGAACACCGCTGCCTCGCCGTACTGCTTCATGCCCGGCCGCAGGGCGGGTGGACGACTTCGGGGGGCGGGGTAGAGGTAAAGATCCTCCGCAACAAGGTGGAGCTCCAACGCTCCGTGCCGTGAGTTGACTCCCAAACCGACCAATGGGGGTATTTTTATCCTGGTACCCGGCCTGGTAAACATACAAAAAGCTATGGAAAATGGCCATTGAAATAGTGAGTTTTCCCATGAAAAATGGTGATTTTCCATAGTTTTCTGTATGTTTACCAGAGGGTAAACATGCTGATTTGTGGGAGATTCATGGCCTCATGAGACGTGGATCTCTGGCGAGACATCCAGGGAAACAGGAAACTGGTGGTATTTATCCTCTGGGAATTGAACGTATCTGGAAAATATTGGACATGGCCATGATATTAGTTGATTTTTATCTATTAAAAATGGTGATGTTCCATAGCTATGTTAACTTACCAGAGGGTAGAACACGGTAGAAACAAGAACTAAAACATGTTTTTGGGAGTGCATTTCAGGAACAAAGTTGGTGATCTGAAAATTAAAAAATGATGATGTTATATGATGTGATCGTGTCTTCTTATGCTTTAGCCACTAGAAAAGGTGACTAGTTTTTGACCCCTGGTGATTTTTGCCACGTAGCAACTTATAATCCACTCTGCGGTTCTATAAAACCTTGAAATGGAGATTCAGGAATGAGTCAAATGTCATGGTTTAACCAATAATTACTACTTCCGAGATATTAGATGTACTGTGCGGCAAACATGTTCTTTGATTATTGGATCTTCAGGAAGACATCCGACAGAGGCTTGATGGCTCGGATTTATCAACTCGCAGGAGTGGTTGCCCAAAAAATCCACTGGATATCACTGGATGGTCATCATGTTCTCCTGAAAAACTGCAAGATGTTTGTTTTCAAACAGTAAATCTATAGTCTATATATCTGGGTAAATTATAATAATTCACTAACCTGAATTAAGGCCATTTGGGGATGATGTCCCTTACTAACCATGATTCCAGTGAGGTCACTGTGAGGTCGTTATAATTTACCCAGATATATGTCTATACTTCAAAAATCAAGTCATGTCACTGCCATTTGTGGAGTATAATGTTCAGACACAGCCATGTCGTATATTAGTGCCATGGTTAGAAGTAAACAGATCCAAACGGCTCGAGCAAGGTGGGAATGGTTCAAAATGGTGCTGGCACAAAGTTGTAGACTGAATGTGACTCAATATGATCTCTACGAATGTGTATATATATATATATATGTATATATATATAATTATATATATAATCCCTTCCTCCTAATACTAAACGTCCCCCTAATACTAAAAACAGGCATCCATCTCCAATTTCCGAAAATTTCAGTTTGGCCAATTTGACTTTTAATTGATCCCCTTTAAAAAACAATTTAATTACTTTACTTCGTGTGATCCCCACCATGAGATTTATACATTTTGTTACTGGCAAATCTTCTGGCATTCTATCTGACATTTTATCTGGCATTCTATCTGGCATACCTTCTGGCATTTTATCTGGCATATCTTCTGGCATTCTATCTGGCATATCTTCTGGCATTCTACCTGGCATATCTTCTGGCATATGTTCTGGCATATCTTCCGGCATTCTATCTGGCATTCTATCTGGCATATCTTCTGGCATATTATCTGGAAAATCTTCTGGCATTCTATCTGGCAAACATTCTTGCACTTTATCTGGCATACCTTCTGGCATTCTATCTGGCATATCTTCTGGCATTCTATCTGGCATATCTTCTGGCATTCTACCTGGCATATGTTCTGGCATATCTTCCGGCATTCTATCTGGCATTCTATCTGGCATATCTTCTGGCATATTATCTGGAAAATCTTCTGGCATTCTATCTGGCAAACATTCTGGCACTTTATCTGGCATATCTTCTGGCATTCTATCTGACATTTTATCTGGCATTCTATCTGGCATGCCTTCTGGCATTCTATCTGGCATATCTTCTGGCATTCTATCTGACATTCTATCTGGCATACTTCTGGCATTCTATCTGGCATATCTTCTGACACTCTATCTGGCATATCTTCTGCAGTCTATCGGGCCGTTGAGGTCCAGGTTGCACACTGAGCTGGGCGGTGTCCCGTTAGGTCCAGCGGTGCACACTGGGCGGGATGGTCGCGGTTGAGGTCCGGCAGGGAACACTGGGCGGGATACTCGCGGTTGAGGTCCGGCAGGGAACACTGGGCGTGGATGGTCGTGGTTGAGGTCCGGCAGGGAACACTGGGCGGGATGGTCGTGGTTGAGGTCCGGCAGGGAACACTGGGCGCGGATGGTCGTGGTTGAGGTCCGGCAGGGAACACTGGGCGTGGATGGTCGTGGTTGAGGTCCGGCAGAGAACACTGTGGATCGCGGGTCGCAGTTGAGCAAGGACGACAAGGATGACAAGGAGGACGAGGAGGAGGAGGACGAGGCAGGAGGAGGCGGAGGAGGAGGAGGAGCAGGAGGAGGAGGAGGAGCAGGAGGAGCAGGAGGAGGAGGCAACTGACATAAAATCTAACAACCCTCACCTGGCAGGTGGGGAAAAATCAACCTACCATTTGTGGGTTCTCCCCCCTAATACTAAAAACTAGTTCACCCCGGGGTGTTTAGTATTAGGGGGGCCTAGTCCCAATCCCTCACTCCAAGCTGCCTGGCTACTCTAGCAATTAGGGGTAAGCTTCGAACTGCCATTTTTGGCAATATTTTAATTGCGTTATATAAGGAAATTTAATTGATTTTGAGATCGGAAAAAATTGTTTTTAGTATTAAGGGTTTTAATTTAGTATTAGGGGTAAGCTTCGAACTGCCATTTTTGGCAATATTTTAATTGCGTTATATAAGGAAATTTAATTGATTTTGAGATCGGAAAAAATAGTTTTTAGCATAAGGGTTTTAATTTAGTATTAGGGGTAAGCTTCGAACTGCCATTTTTGGCAATATTTTAATTGCGTTATATAAGGAAATTTAATTGATTTTGAGATCGGAAAAAATAGTTTTTAGATGTTTTTAGTATTAAGGGTTTTTATTTAGTATTAGGGGTAAGCTTCGAACTGCCATTTTTGGCAATATTTTAATTGCGTTATATAAGGAAATTTAATTAATTAATTAACATGACTTCGATTTGGTTCCCTAATAATAAATACCCCCCTAATACTAAAAACTACCTGCCGTGTTTTGTATTAGGGGGGGGGTTTAGTATTAGGAGGAAGGGATTATCACATATTATTCACATATTCTGGCCCCCCCAAAAAAAAACATGATTAATTTTGAGCAATCTTTCATATGTTACGTTACTTCATTGAAAAAAACACAGTGCAGGGGCAAAGGGGGCCGAAGCGTGGGTTTCCGACGTTGCGCTGTGACGCTCCCGGGGGCGGGTGGCGCTGCGACGCTGCGACGCTGCGACGCTCCGGGTGGCGGGTGGCGCTGCGACGCTGCGACGCTGCGACGCTGCGACGCTGCCGTTGGGCCAGTGACGCTGCGACGCTGTTGGCGCTGCGACGCTGCGACGCTGGAGTGACGCTGCGACGCTGTTGGCGCTGCGACGCTGCGACGCGGGAGCGACGCTGCGACGCTGTTGGCGCTGCGACGCTGCGACGCTGCGTCGCGGGAGCGACGCTGCGACGCTGTTGGCGCTGCGACGCTGCGACGCTGCGACGCGGGAGCGACGCTGCGACGCTGTTGGCGCTGCGACGCTTCCTTCTGCAAGAGTGCACACGGCGTTGCGTCGCTGCGCGACACGGAAACCCCCATTGAAGATCGTCAATGAATGTAGAAGTTTATATATAACGGGGCTGAAAGAATTAAACCCTTATTGAAGATCGTCCATGAATGTAGAAGTTTAACGGGGCTGGGGAGAATTAAACCCTCATTGAAGATCGTCAGTGAATGTAGAAGTTAAACGGGGCTGGGGAGAATTAAACCCTCATTGAAGATCGTCCATGAATGTAGAAGTTTAACGGGGCTGGGGAGAATTAAACCCTCATTGAAGTCGTCAATGAAATGTACTGAAGTTAACGGGGCTGGGAGAAATTAACCCTCATTGAGAAATCTTCAATAATGTAAGAAGTTTAAAAAAAAAACGGGGCTGGAAGAATTAAACCCTTTAGAAGTTTAACGGGGCTGGGGAGAATTAAACCCTTATTGAAGATCGTCCATGATGTAGAAGTTTAACGGGGGTGGGGAGAATTAAACCCTCATTGAAGATCGTCCATGAATGTAGAAGTTTAACGGGGCTGGGGAGAATTAAACCCTCATTGAAGATCGTCAGTGAATGTAGAAGTTAAACGGGGCTGGGGAGAATTAAACCCTCATTGAAGATCGTCCATGAATGTAGAAGTTTAACGGGGGTGGGGAGAATTAAACCCTCATTGAAGATCGTCAATGAATGTAGAAGTCTAACGGGGCTGGGGAGAATTAAAACCTCATTGAAGACCGTCCATGAATGTAGAAGTTTAACGGGGGTGGGGAGAATTAAACCCTCATTGAAGATCGTCAATGAATGTAGAAGTTTAACGGGGCTGGGAGAATTAAACCTCATTGAAGATCGCCCATGAATGTAGAAGTTTAACGGGGCTGGGGAGAATTAAACCCTCATTGAAGATCGTCAATGAATGTAGAAGTTTAACGGGGCTGGGGAGAATTAAACCCTCATTGAAGATCGTCCATGAATGTAGAAGTTTAACGGGGCTGGGGAGAATTAAACCCTCATTGAGATCTTCATGAATGTAGAAGTTTAACGGGGCTGGGAGAATTAAACCCTCATTGAAGATCTTCGATGAATGTAGAAGTTTAACGGGGCTGGGAGAATTAAACCCTCATTGAAGATCGTCAATGAATGTAGAAGTTTAACGGGGCTGGGAGAATTAAACCCTCATTGAAGATCTTCAATGAATGTAGAAGTTTAACGGGGCTGGGAAGAATTAAACCCTCATTTAAGATCGGCCATGAATGTAGAAGTTTAACGGGGCTGGGAGAATTAAACCCTCATTTAAGATCGTCGATGAATGTAGAAGTTAAACGGGGCTGAGGAGAATAAAACCCTTATTGAAGATCGTCCATGAATGTAGAAGTTTAACGGGGGTGGGGAGAATTAAACCCTCATTGAAGATCTTCAATGAATGTAGAAGTTTAACGGGGCTGGGGAGAATTAAACCCTCATTGAAGATCGTCCATGAATGCAGAAGTTAAACGGGGCTGGGAGAATTAAACCCTCATTGAAGATCGTCCATGAATGTAGAAGTTTAACGGGGGTGGGGAGAATTAAACTCTCATTGAAGATCGTCAATGAATGTAGAAGTTTAACGGGGCTCGGGAGAACTAAACCCTCATTGAAGATCGTCCATGAATGTAGAAGTTTAACGGGGCTGGGAGAATTAAACCCTCATTGAAGCTCGTCAATGAATGTAGAAGTTTAACGGGGCTGGGGAGAATTAAACCCTCATTGAAGATCATTGAAGATCGTCCATGAATGTAGAAGTTTAACGGGGCTGGGAGAATTAAACCCTCATTGAAGATCTTCAATGAATGTAGAAGTTTAACGGGGCTGAGGAGAATTAAAACCTCATTGAAGATCGTCAATGAATGTAGAAGTCTAACGGGGCTGGGGAGAATTAAACCCTCATTGAAGATCATTGAAGATCGTCCATGAATGTAGAAGTTTAACGGGGCTGGGAGAATTAAACCCTCATTGAAGATCGTCAATGAAGGTAGAAGTTTAACGAGGCTGGGAGAATTAAACCCTCATTGAAGATCGTCAATGAATGTAGAAGTTTAACGGGGCTGGGAGAATTAAACCCTCATTGAAGATCTTCGATGAATGTAGAAGTTTGAAGGGGCTGGGAGAATTAAACCCTCATTGAAGATCTTCAATGAATGTAGAAGTTTAACGGGCCGAGGTAGTGTTCAGAGGGGGTCGCTGGCTTGATCTTCGAAGATGCAACATATATTCAAAGGGGGTGGCGGGGCTGATGTCTCAAGGTGCAACGTATTGTTCAGAGGGGGTTGGGGAGTTGATGTCTTGTGATGGTGAAGATGCAACATAGTGTTCAGAGGGGGTTCCAGGGCTACTGTCTCAGCTTGTCCGGTGGCTTCTCGGCTTCTCGGCTTCTCGGCTTGTCCGGTGGCTTCTCGGCTTCTCGGCTTCTCGGCTTCGCGGCTTCTCGGCTTCTCGGCTTGCCCGGCGGCTCCTCGGCTTCGCGGCTTCTCGGCTTCTCGGCTGGTCCGGTGGCTTCTCGGCTTCTCGGCTTCTTGGCTTCTCGGCTTGTGCCGGGCTTCTCGGCTTCTCGGCTGTCTCGGCTTCTCGGCTTCTCGGCTTGTGTCGTACTTCGCGGCTTCTCGGCTTCTCGGCTTGTGTCGGGCTTCTCGGCTTCTCGGCTTCTCGGCTTCTGGTCGCATTTCTGGGCCCCTTTTGCCCGTGCTTTGAAAAAACACACTGGTGAGTAGTCACATTGCCAATCTTGGATACCCTGCCAGAAAAAGACAAGCTGCGTAGCACATTCCGATCAAGATGGCGAAGGTACCACATGCCCTCCGAAGTGTCAGGTTGCTATGAACTATGGCAATCAGCGCAAACTATGGTATTTTAAGTGATGGAAATCAGCTATAGCTACCATCTGGTTATGACATTCACAGTTCGCCATGGAAGCCATCACCATGCATTCTTAAGAATGGTAAACCATCTATTTCTATGGGCCATCTAAAAACCATGGCAAACTGTTAGTCATAACCAGAGGCTAGATCTCCCATGAGATGCCCATGAAACCCATGAAACCTCCATGGTTAAAACCGCAGCATTTGGGTCCTCTTTGGCTTCCTCGAGCTCGTGCGAATCTGCGGCGGACATGAGAAATATATAAGATATATCATGAACATATTCATCTATTATGAAAGCGTCAATATGAATCTGATAGTATATTAATGTATATTATATGATATAGTAATTAGTTGACTATGATCTATATGGAGGTTTCCTGAAATAGGGGTACCCCCGTTTATCATCCATTTTATTTCCGGATTTCCCCTTATAAATCTTATAAACCATCCATTTTTGGGGCTATCCCCATTTATTCCCGCCGGTTGAAGCCTCGATTGAAAATAAGTGATTTTATCATATTTTATATGATGCCCCTATTTAAAAAAGAGAAAAAACGTGTCCCACATCTATATGTTTTTTTTCTAAATGATATTGATACCATATGATCCCAATTTATGATTCAAATTCATCATATCCCACATTCATATGTGTTTGTTTGATATCATGTAAAATTGGCCAATCATCAATGGGATTCCCAGGCCCCGACTTTTTTGCACGTTGCAAGTGAGGTCGCTGTCCCCTGCCCAATTTTTTGGTGAGCAAAATGCTAAATTTCCGCCTTTGTACCCTCAAGTAATCAAACATAGCAATGGAAAATCTAATTATAGATGATTGTCCCATTAAAACCATGTAAAACCTCCATTTATAGAGGGTATACCACTGCCACGTTTGAGTAGTGGAGGGTATCTGAAATTCCGCAAGTTTGTGAACAATCCGACTGTTGTCGTGGGTTCGATCTATCCATTTGCTCTAGTTCCGACTGCTACCATGTTATTCCGGTATTATTCCAAGATTCGATGCTCTCAACTGGTCAGAAACTTGTTTTTCAATCCTTCATGTTCAGACGCACCCAGTTATCATTGATTCTTGTTGTGTACTTACACGGTTTTATCCCCATGATATCCCTATCCCTATTGTATGTGCCCCCCCTCAGTTGTAAGATGTGATAAGTTGGTTTATCATCCCCACTGACCGTCATGAACTATAGTTATACTTACCAGAAATCATAGTTGTTGCACTTATTTGCACCAGCTTAGCTATCCTAAACGGGGGCCCCACTTTGTATATCCCATTTATTATTGATGGGCTTTCTACCCTGAAGCCATCTGGATTTTTCCAATGCATGGGAGCACGCTTGGGGTATCCCCATGACTATGGAAACCCAATGTAATACATATTTCGTTTGGGAGTCACAATTAAGCATTATCAACCACTATTATATAAACATATATTAACCATCTATTAACCATTATTAACTAAAAAAAGACGTCGCGCCGAAGATCGGCCACGCTCGGCCTTCGGACCAGTTCTGCATCCGCTCGGCCACGTGCACGACTTTGCTGAGCTCCTGGAAAATCCCAAGGAGTCACATTTAATCCCATCCAAATCCCAGCTAATCCTTAAAGAAATGGAAACTCACTGAAACTTATCTTAAACCCATTAACTAGTTCGATATATCTACCATAAACCCTCGAACTGAGTGAACTTTGCACCAACTTAGCGACTTCGGAAACGGGGTATCTGACCTTGTACCATTCCGATTCAACTCAACAGCCCTTTTGTTCCACCAAGAAGACTGGTGTTTCGCCCACGACGATGGGGACATGGCTTAACCAGCAAAAACAAGGTACATCCGAATGATAATTTGGTTTGTATGTATATATATATATATATTCCGTCTTCAAGAATAAGCCCATCGGTTAACCTCGTATCTATAATTATGTATATATTGACATATATACATATATATATTGACATGTGTAAATAGAATATATGTACTTATATACTAGGTTAACGGATGGGTTTAGGAAATGGGCAAAATGCAACAGCCAAATCATGTTTTGTATTGCTGTAGAAGTCCAATGGTCCTATGGTTATCTGTGGTGATACTTATCACCAATTCATGGAGTTTATAAACCAACTTATAACTGAGGGGCGCCGCATCGAATTTAGCAATGGCAACCTGACGTCCAATTCAAAACGGTCCAGTACCCTTTACCATAAAGTAAGCAGCGCTATCTAGTGCTTATGTATGTTCATCCGCCCCTATGGTACCACACTTGGATGTGCATCCCAGTTAGTAAGTGGTCTAAATACTATACACAAACCATCTAGAAGACAAAGATCATCGGGTAGTTAGTTAAGTACGATTGTTAACCAAGCACTACCCTCTGGTAAATTAACATAGACCCTGAAAATAACCCATTCTTAGTGGAAACTAGTCTTCCAACCCCTATCTGCCAGGGTCTATGTTAATTTACTGGAGGGTAACTGGGTCATCATGTTATGGTTGTGAAAATCTTGGCTCCTGATCTTCATTTTTTTCCTGGGGGATGCACCCAAAAACGCCGCTCCTCAAAGCTGCGTTCCAAGACCTTTGCCTTGTCCAGGATGATCTTCTCTGGGCAAAACCTGGGACGGGACCCTGGGAAGCTCTTGACGGGTCGTTTGTTACATATGAACTTACCATATGGGGGAATAACATGGAATAACCATCCAGAACCAGCTATGACTCAGGGTAGGATAACCACCATATTCTTCGATAGAACTCGGCCTCGGCTCTGTCTTTTTAAGAATCTCTTGCTGTGCAGCATCGTTGTCCGTTGCGGTTTGTTCAATTCTTCCTTGGAAGTCTCAGGTAAAATACACTCTATACAGGTTGATAGTGACTTCCCGGATTGGTTCATGATAGTTTTCGTGTTTAGGTTTATAGGGTTTTGAGCTGGTTGATTGAAGAAATCAAACGAAAACGGTTCATGATAGCAATCTCGATGATTTATTGGTGTTGGATGCGTCAAAATGACGTTTGAGGTCAAACAAGGATCGCACATCTGCGGTTTCCGGTAAATATACAATATATCATAATATATATATATATATGTTTAATTATAATTGTTTGTATATGTGTATAAATGCATATATAAATGTAAATGTATGTATATGTATTATATGTATTGTTGTTATCATCATTACTATTACTATAATTAGTAGTATATATATATATATATAATGCCCTAGTCTCTAGTCGGCAAAGCACATGAAGCCACAGGGAAAAATTCCAAATTCCACTGTTGGTTGATTCTTCTTGAGTCCAGGGATGACTAGTCGGGCAACGACCCAAAAACGTCTCGCCTATTTGGAGCCTGATACGAGGCTGTTGTGAGGGCGACCACTTCTTGGACATGGCAACATGACATACCCATCAATCTGGTGATATGTACATAATTATATATATATTAATATATACATGGGACTCTGGATAATTGACAATAAAGTCAAATCTGATCTGTTGAGTCTGTTGAGCCATAAATTCAGAAACATGATCATTGATATCATTGTACACTATGAACCCTGTCAAAATGTCCATGGTGTCGCTGCATTTTTTAGAAGAAACCATCCATCACTGTTCTATCCCATCCCATGGCCAATCTTAGCGTGTGTTTTCTTCGCTGGTTAGATGAATATATGTATCCCCACCAAAATGGCAAGCAAAAAATTGGGCTCAAATAAAACTTCATCAAACTGGCAAAAGACCAACTAACCTGTTCCTAATATTAAAAACTAAATGGTCCCGAATAATGTTTAATCTGCAACTTAGCCATGGTTTATCGGGGTGTTTGAAAGGGGGAAGGGATTATATTGCCATTGGATCTAATCATAGTACGGTTATCTACCCATAATAACACCAATTTTATCCTTAAGATTTCCATGATGCTACGGTATTGAACTAACCTTCCGTTTAGTAACCCCAAAATAAATAGAACGAAAATGGAAGAGAGCCCTCTGGTTATTTAGCATAGCTAGGGAACCCATTTGTAGATTATTCATGATGATCTATCTATTAAAAAACTCGAATTTTCCATAGCTGTGCTAAAATACCAGAGAGTATAGTATTTTTTGGGGGTTTAAATTTGTAATTGTATCAAATGACCCTTCACCACGCGCTTTCCCCTCAGATCAAGGAAACTGCCCGCGTCGGTTTTGCTGGAAACCGCGGTTCCGGTTGCGCAGCAGGGCAATCTGCGGTCGCAGGAATTTCGGGGTAATAAAATACGGGGGGCACCAAAGCGCTTCACCCGGAAAAGTGCACAGTTCTGTGCTGAGAAACTGCCAATCACTTTTTTTTTGATGGCTCGGCAACCCTGAAAAAAAACCTGAAAAAACAACTAGAAGGCTAGAAACATCTAAAAATCATATCAATTTCTTGTCAATTTCTATAGTAGTGCATCATGTCGATTTTTTGAAATTACAACAAAACTTCTTCAATTGGGGTAGATCACCCCCTTGGCCCAGTGAATTTCCTGTGGATGGGGCCGGGGTTCCATGATTTAGACAATGAGCCCCACAGCCCCCCCAAAATAAATCAGGTCAAAGAACACACCGAAACAGATGTAAAACCCCTCAAGAATTCTTCAGTTCAAATCCGTTTTGGAACCACCACTCATCCACATGAGTCACCCGAGTTTGACACCGTGTGAAAAATTGGGAAATCTCCAAAAAAAATGATGGGTGTTAATGGGGTGTTGACGATTCTCCGGAATCCATAGATCTTCCTCCCCGCAATCACTAATAGATGATGGATGCTATGCTGATTCTATATAGTTGTATAGTGATGTAAATCCCCGTTGAATAACCACCAACCAACAACAATGTCATATCCTTGGTTATATCTGCCCATCCCTCCACAAGCCACACCTCAACCGGAACATCCACCCACAGAAGCTCGGTGAAATACCCTGCAGCTGCAGCCGGGTCGAGAATCGTCCATGGTTCTAAGATACTCGCTTGCCGGAAGGTCCCTGAAGTTTGTACAGGTCACACATTTCTAAAAACAGTTTCAAGGTGGTTTTATCGGATGTTTCTGGATATTTCTGGTTCGTCTCCCCCTTTTTGCAGGTTAACCTCCAATAAATAGGAAAGTCAGATGGGATGATGAAATTCCCACTAGATGGAAAAATTAAAAAATGTTCCAAACCACCAACCAGTATGTATATATATATATTATTATATTCAAACCCCATATTTATAGTTGATTTACCCATTAAAAACGGTTGATTTAAAACGATGATTTTCCCATTAAAAACGATGGATTTTCCCATTAAAAACGATGATTTTCCCATTAAAAACGATGTTTTCCCATAAAAAACGATGGATTTCCCATGAAAAACGATGATTTTCCCATTGAAAAACGATGGATTTCCCATAGCTCTCCTCAACAAAATCACCATAGCGATCTCCGCGCCTCTCCGCCTCGCGAGGTCAATGCGATGTCTGAGCCAATGGGCATTAGAGCCGCTGGAGTCGAACACGACATTCGGCCTGTCCAACATTGGAAAAAGGTCAAACCCAACATGTCTTGGTTAAGATGGTTAACAATGGTTAATAGTGGCTAGTAATAATGATAGCAATGGATAACTATAGATAATTAATTATTATAATCTCATTAGTGGCCAACTATTATCTATAATAGATAGCAATAATGGTTAATGATGATTAATAATGGTTCAATGATGATTAATAATAGTTAATAATGATTAATCATAGTGATAATAGATAGCAATAATGGTTCATGATGATTAATAATGGTTAATAGTGGCTAGTAATGGTTGAGAATAATGGTTAATGATAATAGTTGTTTAATCATTAAACCCTTTTCAGGTTGGTTTTCAATAATGATAGTGATAATGGTTAATTCATTAATATTTAATAGTGATAATAGATAGCCATAATGGTTAATAGTGGCTAGTAATGGTTCATGATGATTAATAATGGTTCATGATGATTCAATAATGATAGTGATAATGGTTAATTCATTCATATTTAATAGTGATAATAGATAGCAATAATGGTTCATAGTGGCTAGTAATGGTTCATGATGATTAATAATGGTTCATGATGATTAATAATGGTTCATGATGTATCTAATGGTAGTGATAATGGTTAATTCATTAATATTTAATAGTGATAATAGATAGCAATAATGGTTAATAGTGGCTAGTAATGGTTCAATAATGATAGTGATAATGGTTAATTCATTAATATTTAATAGTGATAATAGATAGCAATAATGGTTAATAGTGGCTAGTAATGGTTCATGATGATGAAATAATGGTTCATGATGATTCAATAATGATAGTGATAATGGTTAATTCATTCATATTTAATAGTGATAATAGATAGCAATAATGGTTCATAGTGGCTAGTAATGGTTCATGATGATTAATAATGGTTCATGATGATTCAATAATGATAGTGATAATGGTTAATTCATTAATATTTAATAGTGATAATAGATAGCAATAATGGTTAATAGTGGCTAGTAATGGTTCATGATGATAATAATGGTTCATGATGATTAATAATGGTTCATGATGATTCAATAATGATAGTGATAATTGTTAATTCATTAATATTTAATAGTGATAATAATAGATAGCAATAATGGTTCATAATGGTTCATGATGATTCAATAATGATAGTGATAATGGTTAATTCATTCATATTTAATAATGATAATAGATAGCAATAATGGTTAATAGTGGCTAGTAATGGTTCATGATGATTAATAGGGGTTCATGATGATTCAATAATGATAGTGATAATGGTTAATTCATTCATATTTAATAGTGATAATAGATCGCAATAATGGTTAATAGTGGCTAGTAATGGTTCATGATGATTAATAATGGTTCATGATGATTGAATGATGATAGTGATAATGGTAATTCATTAATATTTAATAGCGATAATAGATAGCAATAATGGTTAATAGTGGCTAGTAATGGTTCATGATGATTAATAATGGTTCATGATGGTTCAATAATGATAGTGATAATGGTTAATTCATTAATATTTAACAGTGATAATAATAGATAGCAATAATGGTTAATAATGGCTAGTAATGGTTCATGATGATTAATAATGGTTCATGATGATTCAATAATGATAGTGATAATGGTTAATTCATTAATATTTAATAGTGATAACAGTAGATAGCAATAATGGTTAATAGTGGCTAGTAATGGTTCATGATGATTAATAATGGTTCATGATGATTCAATAATGATAGTGATAATTGTTAATTCATTAATATTTAATAGTGATAATAATAGATAGCAATAATGGTTCATAGTGGCTAGTAGTGGTTCATGATGATTAATAATGGTTCATGATGATTCAATAATGATAGTGATAATGGTTAATTCATGAATATTTAATAGTGATAATAACAAACTTGATAATAGATAAGACACTAATTGGTTGAATAGGGCGAGGAATGGTTCATGATGATTAATCATGGTTCAGGATGATTAATCGGAATGTCATGATTGATTCATAATGATAGTGATAATGGTAAATCATGATATTTAACAGTGATAATAATCGATAGCAATAATGGTTAATCGTGGCTTAGTAATGGGGGGATGATGATTAAAATGGTTTTCATGATGATCAATAATGGATAGTGATAATGGTGTTAATTTCATTTAAGATTTATTTATGATAATAATAGATAGCAAAATGGTTAATAGTGGCTAGTAATGGTTCATGGTGATGAATAATGGTTCATGATGATTCAATAATGATAGTGATAATGGTTAATTCATTAATATTTAATAGTGAAAATAGATAGCAATAATGGTTAATAGTGGCTAGTAATGGTTCATGATGATTAATAATGGTTCATGATGGTTCAATAATGATAGTGATAATGGTTAATTCATTAATATTTAACAGTGATAATAATAGATAGCAATAATGGTTAATAATGGTTCATGATGATTCAATAATGATAGTGATAATGGTTAATTCATTAATATTTAATAGTGATAATAGATAGCAATAATGGTTAATAGTGGCTAGTAATGGTTCATGATGATAATGGTTCATGGTGATTCAATAATGATAGTGATAATGGTTAATTCATTCATATTTAATAGTGATAATAGATAGCAATAATGGTTAATAGTGGCTAGTAATGGTTCATGATGATTAATAATGGTTCATGATGATTCAATAATGATAGTGATAATGGTTAATTCATTAATATTTAATAGTGATAATAGATAGCAATAATGGTTAATAGTGGCTAGTAATGGTTCATGATGATTAATAATGGTTCATGATGATTCAATAATGATAGTGATAATTGTTAATTCATTAATATTTAATAGTGATAATAATAGATAGCAATAATGGTTCATAGTGGCTAGTAGTGGTTCATGATGATTAATAATGGTTCATGATGATTCAATAATGATAGTGATAATGGTTAATTCATTAATATTTAATAGTGATAATAGATAGCAATAATGGTTAATAGTGGCTAGTAATGGTTCATGATGATTAATAATGGTTCATGATGATTCAATAATGATAGTGATAATGGTTAATTCATTAATATTTAATAGTGATAATAGATAGCAACAATGGCTAATGATGATCAATAATGGTTCAATGATGGTTAATGATGATTAATAATGGTTCAATGATGATTAATAATGGTTAATAATGGTTCATGATGATTCAATAATGATAGTGATAATGGTTAATTCATTAATATTTAATAGTGATAATAGATAGCAATAATGTTTAATGATGATTAATAATGGTTCAATGATGGTTAACGATGATTAATAATGGTTCAATGATGATTCATAATGGTTAATAATGGTTCAATGATGATTAATAATGGTTAATAATGGTTAATCATAGTATCAGTAGATAGCAACAATGGTTCATGATGATTAATAATGGTTAATTTTGGCTAGTAATGGTTGAGAATAATGGTTAATGATAATAGTTGTTTAATCATTAAACCCTTTTCAGGTTGGTTTTCTTCAAGGTAGTGGATGGCACTTTATAGTTAATATTGGGCAATAATGGTTGATAGTGGTTATATAGTGCTGGTTAGAAAATCATACACATGTTTGCTCAAAAAATGTTCAGTTTTTTGGGTTCAAAAAACCAACAAACTCTTCAATCACGTTTCTTTTGTGCATTTTTGTTAAATCGTGTTTTTTCTAGCCGAAAAAAATATATTAAAAATAGCTGAGAAGTGTTGTGGGTAGCGTCATTGGGGCACCATTTCGGCCATGTTTTTGGACGAATGGACAGTCGATCGTTTATGATAGTCCAGAAAAAAATCATGTCATCTTTTGCTGGTTATTTGTGATTTTCCGTAACGAAAAACTAAAGGATTGAACTATGGAATGGCCAGTCATGTTTAGTATTAAAGATCCATTTTGGCGTGTGATGATTTTGAACTCTTGTCTGCGATAGAAAAAATGGATTTCTTCAATCAATTTTTGGATGATTTCCTTTGCAAGACGATGTTTTAGTAAAAAAACGATTCTGTTCTGCAAGCTTGCGCCTGCCAACAAATTTTGGAGTTGTTGGAATTTGTGTATGCTGTCCAAACATTGGAACTTTACCAGCAAACAACATTTTTTACAAGCAAAACTTGAGGATGTTAGCCGCAAAACATGAGAGATTTAGATGACAAATCATGGGAAATCACTGGACCAGCCAGTCCAAAATTGGGTTAGGCAAAGTCTGCAGGTTTGACAGGCATGATTCTTGAGGAATCGGAAGCAAGCATGGAGGCTCTGTGAAGCAAACATATTGTATCTTGAAGCAGCAGAAATGGTCGGACTGTGGACGACTGGAAGCCAAAATATGTTGTTCAACTAGGACTGAGGCTTTGAACAGGAGAACAGAGGATCTCATATTTCAACATATTTCAGCCAGAAAACTATGAGGAATGTCCCTCGACTGGCGTCCAGCCCAAATGGGGTCACCGAGTGGGGTGACTGTGGAGATCATATTTGTTTAATCCATAATTGAATGAAAAATTGGGGAAACTAATATATATATATATATACATATATATATATATATATTGTAGAAACTAATTAATATAAATGGTATCTCTGAATGGTGGCTTTGTTTGGTTTTATATAAATTCTATCACAAAAACAAAAATAAAACATTATAAAACCATATAAAACCATATAAAACCACCAATCACACGCAGGCAAAACACACAACCACCACCACAAAAAACCGTTGATCTCTGCCGCCTGAGACCACTTCGGACCGTATCTTCGAAGTCGTCCACAGAACGCCTTCGAATGCGTCCCGTCAGAAAATCTGCGAAGACACCAAGATCTGTTGGGGGATTGTTGTTCATATCATGTGTCTAAGTAAGGTTTATGTGCAAAAAAATGAATTTCAACCATTTAATATCATAAATATCATTGAATCGTCTCTAATGGATCATGTGATAAAAAACAAGATGTTGGGATTGAGATACCCGTTAAAAATCTCGTTTTTTGGGCCCGCTTGGGATTGCAGTGGGTGACCACCCACCGCGTCTATGGCTACAATCCATCCATATCTACTCCATGTCCAGGATGACTATATTGAATGGGTCTGTCTGAAAATAGCGTGTCCCTAATTCCAATGGTTTTCTTATCATTATCCATATTAAAACAATGCTATTTGTGGGTATCCCCTATTGACACAGCCGTATGTTCACTGGGATTTTTCATCAGCTTTCGTCGGACACCGTCTGACCGTCTGCCTGACACTCCAGCGATGAACCTCTTCATCCGTCTCCTGATGGATGTGCATTCGAGTTGATCAGCAGGATCTAAAAGAACACAGGATGTGAAACTCAATGGGGGCATTCATGGGAATACCCTAGGACTAACATAGAAATAACATAGGAATAACATGGAATAACATAGGAATTATCATAGAAATGTATGTAGTAGACCAAAGTTGTTTCAAGGTGATAACTGTTTCTTCCGGTTGATATCTATGGCCAATAACTGATAACATCTAATAACCATATTCAAACAAATACAACGTAGATCCGTAGATCATGTTATGTTGTTATTTCTCATAACCCAGCCAAAAATGAAGGATATACAGATATACGCCTTCGTCTGAAAATATGGTACCCCAAAATTCTCATTTTCCCTGTAGTTTCCATATGGTATGCTCTATTTTCAGAGAAAACCATATACCCTGCGGTAATCAAACGTGGCTTGCTGGAAAATCCACCAGTTGGTTCGATGTTTTTTTCCAGCTATAGACCTCCATTTAGTTCGGGATATTTCCAGCCAGCCACATTTACTGACACGAGAAGGTCATCAATTATAATCCAATTATGCATATTATCCCATGATTAATCATTATTCTTTCATTATTAATCATGATATGTGAGGCTATCATAATTGATTAATAACCATTAATGATCCATAGTGAATAATGATTCAAAGTTGTTCATAAAGTTTATGAACAACTTTGAATCATTATTCACTATGGATCATTAATGGTTATAAACATATTTGATTAACCATCAATCCATCAAGATAGTTTATCCAGATTTGTAGAACCGTGGATCATCCATCCACTGGTGGTCATAATTAATGACTTATTAGTTTTTGATAACCAGTAATTATAAATGAATGACCATATTATTTGATTATCTAGTATGTATTCTTATCATTAAGCATTGCACTTACTGGGTCACCCACCGCTCACATCAAAAAAGGTCCCAAGCCAACTGAACGGAAAACAGCCCCGTGGCGGAGAGTTTCAGATGAAAAACGAGACGGAGATGACCGGAGATCTTCGGCAAACAAAAACAAATTGGATTACATAATGGGTCCGGAACTGTCTTTTTCCGTTTTGTGTTTTTTTGGATCTGTTTTTCTGCCCGTTTTTCTTGCTATTTGCTTGTATTTTTTTGGAACTGGAAGCTGCCATTACAACTGTATTTGCCACATAATTTTGGTGCTCAAACTTTTCATGTTGCATGGTACTTTGCGACTAGGGTTCATTTAAGATATTTAAGGTTGGTTTATGGTTGTTTTGGGGTTGGTTGTAGGATTGGTTTAGGTTCGAGAAGCGAAGAAGCAAAGAAGCAAAGAAACATCAAAGCAGAGAAGCAGGGAAAAGCAGAAAATCAAAAAACTCAGTAGCAGAAAAGCAAAGAAGCAGGGAAACAGAAATCAAAACAAATGCCGCAAATGCCCATTAAAACGGGAAGAACATACCACCCCAAAAAAACATCCTTATATAATTTTTCAGCACCCTGGAGTAGACAGAATATGGGCATTTATGGAATATGATGGAAAAGTCAAACAATCGCAAAACAAATCATCACTAACATGTGGGAATCTTGAAAACGATCATGAAAAAGTCCTTACTCTATCATACTCTATCTACTTTAGGATGACTATATATTTATAGGTATGTACACACAGAAAATGGTCAGTAACTTCATATGTCCAGCTGTGTTGAGATATGCATTTTTTTCACACCTTCAGTTTCTTCAGACGCCAAAGCGAGCCACGCTTTGGAAGACATCAGGAAATCATTGCCACCATTTTCGCAGGTCAAACGTATTATAGATGCAATGGTTTCATGTCGGGACTATTTCTGTTTGGGGGTACACTCATCGGTTGTATCTTATGTTCTATTGGCTATATAATCACCATTTCTAGATGGTGTGACGGTTAGACCATGTTAAACCACCATTCTTCAATCAGGCTCTTGAACCTCGCGCTATAAATGGGACTGGTAAAAAAAAACTTACCCTCTGGTAATGTAACATAGCGAAGTGGAAATTTGTCCATTTATAGATTAAAAAACGGAATGAGTTTCCATAGCTATGTTAGATTGCCGTTGGGTATCCCATCTGGATAATTCCTCAGCTGCCAAATTTTACAGATGGATTTTGGGGTTCCCAAAGACAGCAGGATTCATCAACCCTTGCTGTAAACTGCTATAATGGTTGCTTTACATGCACACATATATGGAGGTTTGCATAAATGGGGGATACCACAATAGCTGGATGGTTTATAAGGGAAATTTTGGGGGTACCACCATTTCAGGAAACCTCATATATATAATTATAGATGTATGTGTATACATAGCAATGTGTATCCATCGCATCTATCTACCTATCTAACCTAACCTAATCCAATCTAATCTAAACCAAACTGAACTCATCTGAACCAATCTATCTATCTATCGATCTATCTATCTATCCATCAATCCATCTACCTGTCTATCCATCTATCTATTTATCTATTGTTGTATCTCTACATACAAAACATATTAATATCTTCTTGGGCTCACAAGCAGAGGCTAGGGTTCTGTCGCTCCTCGCCCATGTCTTCACAAAAGCCATGGTGTCTTCCTTGGAGATGATGAAGATGAGTCGAGAATTGCAGCCCCACACATCATATGTTGATACAAACCGATAAATGGGGATATGTATAGTGGGATATGTTGTGAGATATAATGATGATATATGATAGCTGATAGTTATTGACATTTGGATTTGTCTGAAAATTGGTGATTTACCTCCAATTTCTTTCAGCGATAACCTGCTGGGAGGCTTATCATCCACGGATCGCAACTGGCTACAACGGATGAGTAGCCTTGATTACATTTGATTTCACTATATACTTGAAACGGCCCTTTAAAAGCCTGAAGTTGACCTATTTTTGGGGGGGAAATTGAGATGAAGTTTGCCATATTATTGCGGGTATATTTTGGGCAAGAACAGGAAGTTTCTAACACAGGAACAGTGGGGATGTTGGATGGTTGGATGGCTGGATGGATGGATGGATGGTTGGTTGACAGACCCACATGGGACAGACCCGGACAAGAGGCCGCATGCGATGGGGGTGGGGGTTTGCAAGGTGTCCTAGGCTGTCGGTAGGCCCGCAAGCCCCAAGATGTCCTCGAAGGTGTACAAGGCCACCATTGTGGACTTGCTGGGGCATGTTTTTCCAAAATGTCACGTTTCTGCCTGACAGGGTCAAGGTGGTGCAAGCAGCGGCGCAAAGCCTCAGAGCTGAAGGTCTCATGACACATGCGATGGCCTGTGTCTCTCAGGCTTTTCTTAGCCCTATGCAGGCCAAGATCATGGGCATGCTGATGTCTTCAGACCAAGGAACACTTGTGGTGGTAATGTGGTGTTTCAATCGGTCCCCCACCGATCTTAAAAATCCCCTCTTATGGGGGATAGCATGCAAGGAACTCAGTTAATGTTTGCCTCTGATTAGAAGCCTGGTACCCTATTGTGAGAAATTTCTTGCTCCTAATTCAGTAACATGCTAATTGTTGGGGGGGAGCCTCTATTGTGAGAAATTTTTTCCAGATTTATTTTTTTCAATTTTTTTTCCAAATGCTTTTTGTTTGAAATTAATTAATTACTTTATTTATTAATTTCTTTTTATTTTTAGTTTATCTATTTTTATTTTATTTTTTATTTTTACTTTTTACTTTTCCATTTTTATTTTAATTGTATTTACTATTGTTTCATTTTTTTCATTATTTCCTTTTTTAATTATTTTTTTTATTGCTTTATTATTCATTAACATATTAATTACCCTATGAGTGGCTCAGTTACTCAATAATATAATTGTATGGATGGTACTCTATTGTGAGCACCCACTTTTGGGAGTGAAAAAAAAAATAAAACATTTTCTCCACCTTTCTTTGGCTAAAGCTGGTCCCTTTACTTTAGAAAGCAATGTTTGTGTTAAAGCTTTAAAATGCAAGGTTTCCCAAATAATTAGATGCCTTATTAAACCCTTATTAAAAAACAGCATCCAGACAATTTTTCAAGGGGTACCTCATGAGTGGCTCAGTTACTCAATAATATAATTGTTTGGATGGTACTCTATTGTGAGCACCAACTTTTGGGAGTGAAAAAAAAAAACAAAACCCTTTCTCCACCTTTCTTTGGCTAAAGCTGGTCCCTTTACTTTAGAAAGCCATATTTGTGTTAAAGCTTTAAAATGCAAGGTTTCCCAAATAATTAGATGCCTTATTAAACCCTTATTAAAAAACAGCATCCAGACAATTTTTCAAGGGGTACCTCATGAGTGGCTCAGTTACTCAATAATATAATTGTTTGGATGGTACTCTATTGTGAGCACCAACTTTTGGGAGTGAAAAAAAAAACAAAACCCTTTCTCCACCTTTCTTTGGGTAAAGCTGGTCCCTTTACTTTAGAAAGCCATATTTGTGTTAAAACTTTAAAATGCAAGGCTTTCCAAATAATTAGATGCCTTATTAAACCCTTATTAAAAAACAGCATCCAGACAATTTTTCAAAGGGGTACCTCATGAGTGGCCCAGTTACTCAATAATATAATTGTTTGGATGGTACTCTATTGTGAGCACCAACTTTTGGGAGTGAAAAAAAAACAAAACCCTTTCTCCACCTTTCTTTGGGTAAAGCTGGTCCTTTACTTTAGAAAGCCATAGTTTGTGTTAAAGCTTTAAAATGCAAGGTTTCCCAAATAATTAGATGCCTTATTAAACCCTTATTAAAAACAGCACTCCAGACAATTTTTCAAGGGGATACCTCATGATTGGCTCAGTTACTCAATAATATAATTGTTTGGATGGTACTCTATTGTGAGCACCAACTTTTTGGAGTGAAAAAAAAGCAAAACCCTTTCTCCACCTTTCTTTGGGTAAAGCTGGTCCTTTCACTTTAGAAAGCCATAGTTGTGTTAAAATTTTAAAATGCAAGGTTTCCCAAATAATCAGATGCCTTATTAAACCCTTATTAAAAAACAGCAC